AGGGATAGCACAGATCAAAAAGGAATTCACTGTCAAGACTGGGGGCAGGCCATATGAATGAAGGACCCTATTATTATTTGGGGTTTCATTTTATGGGGTTAAGAAGAAGGAGGAGTTTGGTTGCTGAGGGATATAGTGTAGGCAGTTCTCTGTTTTGATTGATAAGCTTAGATTATGTAAATCCTTGCTCACTGCAATTGTTCCTTCCCACAATGTATCTGATTTTAATCATATGCATACTCTATTATACATAGGCATGAAATGGTAAATAGGGAATTCTCTTGAAAAGTTTACTTACAGGACACAGTTTGCTTTGTTACACAAGGACTCAAAATCAGTTCAAACTGGATTGGCCCCTCCCTTTATCCTGGACATATGATTGAATAGACTCTGTCCATGTTTGGTCTGTAATGGGAAGAGAACTTAGTCCATTGTTTAGGACAGGTGGGGGTCCTAAGTTGCTAACAGGTTGCAAGATGCATTGCTCAGAGAGGGGTATGTGTATGCAGAGTATATGCAGGTAAGGGTCTCAGGCCGGCAAGTACATTACTGGAAGAGGAGTGAGTGCATAGCCCAAACCAAGTGGAGCCTCGGGGTTGCTAAACTATACTTGTCCCTATACTTGTCTGCTTCACTAGCTGGTTAGTGTGTTCTGAGGATGAGACAAGTATTCAATCTTCACCCCAACCCTGTGAGGTATTAATGAGGCAGGGTAGAAAGGTGGGGACATGGGAAGAAAAAGGAATCAGTTATCCCTGAGGTCTGGTTGCTGCCTGTCACCAGCTAAGAATTAAGAATTCCAGCATAATTAACATATGCTGGGAAGGCTGCCGACATAGGCTAAAATTATAATGAAGCATGCATAAGGCTAAGCCTCCATTGTCTTCAAGGATGGTATTTTTTGGACTCTCACAAAAAAATACTAAACCTTTGTTTGCAGTAAAAACATCTTAATTTTGCGAAGAGATGGCTCAGCAGCTAAGAGTACTGACTGGTTCCCAGCACCCACAAGGCATAACCCCAGTTCCAAGGGATCCAATTTCCTCTTCTGGCCTCCGTGGACATTGCACACACATCAGGTGGTGTACTTACATACATGCAGGCAAAAACACTTATACACATAAAAAATTCAATAAATAGTAAAAACAACTTTCTTTAAAAATATATTTTATTATTTTTATTTTATGTGTGTGAGTGTATTACCTGCATGTATGTGAGTGCACCCATGTTGTGCAATGCCGCGGAGGTCAGAAGAGGACTTCGGATTCTCCCGGAACTGGAGTTAAGGACGGTTCGTAGCCACCATGTGGGTGCTGGGACTTGAACCCAGGTCCTCTGCAAGAGCAGTCAGTGCTCTTAACCGCTGAGCCATCTCTCCAGCCCAGTAAAAACATCTTTTAAATTTTTTATTTTATTTTATTTTTTGGTCTTTTTGAGATAGGGTCTCCCTGAAGCCCCAGCTGTCCTGGAACTCACTATGTAGACCAGGCTAGCCTTGAACTCACAGAGATCCGCCTGCCTCTGCCTCCCTAGTGCTGGGATTAAAGGTGTGCACCACCACACCCGGCCAAATTCTTTATTTTTTTTTTTTAAATTTTCACATGTATGTGAACCCAGGTCTTCTAGAAGAGCAGGTGCTCTTAACTGCTGAGCTACCTCATCAGACCCTGTATTAAAATCTCTGCTCCAGACTGGGTTACCTTGAAATTCTTTACAGAGGTAAAAGCAAAATCTGGCTTTATCTGGGTAGATGTCCCTAAAAGATGAAGAAAGCCCCACAGGCTGGTAGGGATAGTTATGGGTTGTTTCCTGTTGCATTGCTGCTAACACAAAATCAGCAGCATTTTACAGGTGGGTCAGAAAACACTGAGAGCATAAGGTAACTTGCTCTCTCTTGCAAAGTATGGATGTAAATGAACAACTTAACACTTCTCCACTTCTCTCGTTGAGGCTTTTAAGGGATTCAAGAGAGACACCGAAGCAGATTGTCCTTTTGGTAACTAAGAAGTTTATTATAGTTTTTTTTTTTTTTTTTTGTCTTTTTGAGACAAGGTCTCCCTGTAGCCCCAGCTGGCCTGGGGGATCCACCTGCCTCTGCCTCCTGAGTGCTGGGATTAAAGGTGTGTGCCACCATGCCCACCTAGGTTTTTTGGTTTTTTTTTTCTTTTAAAGATTTATTTGTTTGGGCGGGGGAGCTGGAGAAATGACTCAGTGGTTAAGAACATTGACTGTTCTTGCAGAAGACCTGGGTTTGAATCCCAGCACCCACATGGCAGCCAACAACTGTCCATAACTCCAGTCCTAGGGGATCCACAGCCTCTTCTGTTATCTGCCCACATTGCATGACACAGGTGCACTTACCTACATGCAGGCAATACACTCATACACATAAAAGAAAAATAACAAATAAAAAAAATTTTTTTTTTTAGTCTTTTTGAGACAGGGTCTCCCTGTAGCCCCAGCTGGCCTGGGACTCACTATGTAGACCAGGCTGGCCTTGAACTCACAGAGATCTGCCTGCCTTTGCCTCAAGAGTGCTGGGATTAAAGGCGTATGGTACCACGCACAGAAAAAAATAAATCTTTTAAAGAAAGATTTAAGCCAGGCCAGGTATGGTGGCACATGCCTTTAATCCCAGCACTTGGGAGGCAGAGGCAGGTGAACTTCTGTGAGTTCAAGGCCAGCCTGGTCTATATAGCGAGTTCCAGGCCAGCTGGGGGTACAGGGAGGCCCTGTCTCAAAAAGACAAAAATAAATAAATAAATAACAAATAAATAAATAAATGTGTGTTTTGTATGCATGTATGCCTGGTGCCCAAAGAGGTCAGAAGAGGGTGTTGAGGATCCCCTGAAACTATAGAGTTAAAGGTGGTTGTTAGCCAGTATAAGGGTGTTGGGAACAAAACCCAGGTCCTCTGGATGAGCAAGTGCTCTTAACCACTGAGTCATCTCTCCAGCCCCTATTAGGGGAGTTCTTACGGACATGGAAGGATAACAGGGTAGGAACTCTGATGGGAATTCAGTCCCAGGAGGCTGGATAGAGGTCCCCCTTTTTTTCTTTCTTTCTTTCCTTTTTTTTTTTTTGCAGGTTTCAGGGGGAGGTTACATACCATGTTCTTGATGCTTATACCTGCTTACAGCCAGGTAGTCTCTGATTCCTGGATGACAGGGGAGGTGGGAGGGGGGGAGGAATCTGGTCTTTTGTCACTGCAGAAGTCTTGTCAACCTTCTAAGGTTTGGTTATTGGGGAACCTGCTAAACTCATTTGGAAGAAGAGTTATAGATGCACTGTTACAGCCTGTCATTTCTTTCACAGCAGCTGTGAAGGTAGAAAAAGGTTGCTGGGGGCTGGAGAGTTGGCTCAGTGGTTAAGAACACTAATTGTTCTTGCAGAAGACCCGGGTTTGAATCCCAGCACCCACATGGCAGCTAACAACTGTCTGTAACTCCAGTTCCAGGGGATCCGACAGCCTCTTCTCTCCTCCTCAGGCATTGCACAACATGGGTGCACTTACATGCAGGCATAACACATACACATAAAATAAAAATACTAAATAAAATATTTTAAAAAAAGAAAAGAAAAAGGATGCTGGAGATGAGCTGGACTGAGTAACTCCTAGCTGGAAACTTAACACCCACCTAGCAGGATAGGGACTACAGCCTGAGGCCTTGGCCAGTGACCAGTAGGATCTGATCCTGGTTAGTGCTGAGGGTTCCAGCTTCCTCCCTTGTGAATCTGGGGTGGTGTCTCCAGGTGATGTGTGTATCTCCCTCAAGGAGCTCTTGAAATCTGTAAGCCTGTTGAAACCAGGAATGACCCTTTGCTGTCAAGCCACGCACCAGCCCCTGTAACGGAAAGGGCCATAAGCAAGGCTTCCGCCAGCCACATAGAGGAAACTTCCTGAACTTTGCTGGCTCTTCTCGCGGGCTCCACCACAACCTCAGCTCACAGGATGGGCTGAGCAAGGCTGGGTGTGGGCGGTTTGGGGGCAGCCAGGTCCTTGTTGCTTAGCAGCTGCCTTGGGATCAGAGATTAGCTCCCCCTCTCTTGACACAGCTGGTGGAGTTGGGGACTGGTCCACCTGCTCCACCTAAGCTTCTGAGAGCGTTTGCTCCTCAGACTGCTGAGGAAAAATTCAGCCTGGAGACCAGATGAGAAAAGAAGTCCTAGGAGGTGGGTGGGACAATCAGAAAGTGGGGGCGGGGCACAACTTTGTTCTCAGTGTTCCCCGTGGAGGGCCCTTCTCTGAAAAGCCCAACTCAATTCCAGCTACAGCCCCATATGCCACCTCCTGTGGTTCCCCTCTCCCCTTTCTTGCCTCACGTCCTCTTAAGGATCTTCTATGCTTGTGCTAACCGAGCCTTTTGTGTTGGGTTCTCAAGGATGTTCAGGAGTTCCTCAAAGACTGAGAGGGTTGAGTTTCTTTTGTTGTTCTTTTAATTAATTTTGAGAAAGGGTCTCACTAAGTAGCCCTGGCTGGCCTGGAAATCAATTTGTAGATCAGGCTGGCCTCGAACTCAGAAAGATCTGCCTGTCTCTCAACTGCTGGGATTAAATTTAGGCGTGTGCCACCATGCCTGGCTCCGAAAGAGTACTTTACTGAACATACAGCTGAGACAAAAACCATGGCGGTGGGAGGCACACTGGGGAAAAACACAAAGCAGTGAGTGTCCTGTAAAACTGATTGCACAAACTTGGGCAACTTCTGGGGGACAGCTGGCAAAGATGGTAAAGTGGAAAAGGGGCCCACGGTTTGTCCATGGCTTCCCCATTATGAGAATGTACAAGTAGGTCGCTGGAGAGTAGTAGGGTTGAGTCTCCTCCAAACTAAGTCCCAGCCGCCCCCACTAGAGACGCAAGTCTGGACTACAAGTCCCAGCCTGCCCTGCGTCGATGAGCATGCGCAGCCGGCACCCCTTCGCGAGCCCGGCCGAGCCCGGGGGCCCGCTGTTGCCCATTGTCTGGCGGCGCTGCCCGCGCGCTCACGTCCTGGATCGGGCGGGCATCCAGCCGCCGAATAGGCCCCGCCCCGCGCCTCAGGACCCGCGGGGCAGCGGCCCTTCCCGCGGTGACGACGGCGGTGGCGGCGGCGGCGGCGTAGGCGACGCAAGATGATGAAGTTTCGGTTCCGGCGGCAGGGTGCCGACCCACAGCGCGAGAAGCTCAAGCAGGAGCTCTTCGCCTTCCACAAGGTGCGGCGGGGGCTGCCCGGGGCGGGGGCGGCCCTGGCGGCCACGTCTGGCCCGCGCGCTCGCGAGCCTCTCTGGCCTCCCATGCCCTGCGAGCACTGCCTGCGCCGGGTGTAGCTCGGCCCCGGCGCCCCTGCGCCTGCTCTTTCGTGCTCGAGCCCCTTGTTTCTCTGCACCTTGGCCGTCGCGGGCTCAGCGGGGTCTCCCGACCTGCAGGTCTTTCACTTCTGAACATTTTCATTCTTTCTTTCGTGGCCCTACCGGGCTGAGGGGCAGTCCAGGGCTGCGTTTTGTTTTGCTTTCGCTCCTAAGCGGAGAGGGAGAAGTGGGGGGTGGGGCTGGTGATCCCAGCGTGGGCCTCCAACCCCCTCCCCAGGCCCTACTCTTCTCTGGAGCCCCAAGTTCAGAGAACGTGCCTGGCTGTGTGCCCAAACCACGGTGCCTCAGTTTCCCTGGCCACGAAATGGGGCCACTTTCCTCTTTGGATTCTAGATTTCTCTGCCTCTGGGCCAACTAACCTGACATGGCACTAACTTGTAGTGGCGTGGAGGGCTGGTCTTGCCTGCTTTCCCTGGATGAAAGCAGGAGGGGCCCTGGGAAAGGCCTCTCCCCCCACCTCCTGTGCACTGACGGATATAGAACCCTGTAAGACTAACTCTTACCTGGTGTGGTGGGGCTGGGTTTGGAACTTAGTTTTTTTCCAGAGTCCTTGCGCACCCTGCTGTTGGGGATTGCCATAGGTCGAGGGGTCCTGGACTACCAGGAGGAGACACGCTTCAGCCCAGGTCCCTGCCATGGCTCGGTTTTTCCTGCTGAGGTCCCATAGCAATGATGGGACTACTAGGATACTCAGACACAGTGACAGAGAACCTGCCAAGGACCTGAGGGGAAGCTGGTGTTTGGGGTTCCCCAAATCGGGCCCTGGGCCTCTGCTTGTGCTGGTGTGACCATATGGGTGAGCCACTAAGGCAAGAGGGAAATGGTTCTTAGCCATTGCATGAAAGTTTGTAGTAGGGACATGCACAGATGGGGTGAGGCCCTGAAGCTTGGCTTACCCTGGCTGGCCCTAGGATGGCAGGAGGTGAGGAGAAAAGCCCCAGATTCTTGAGTTGTTGGGCTGCTGGTCAAGGGTGAACATGGACTTTTTGACTCAGAGTCTTGGGTTCAAATCCAGCTCAGATCACAAGTTGCCTGTGTGATGTGAATCTCATGTTTGTGTAATTTGGACTCCCCACTTTCTTGGTGCTGGGGCTATAGTGAAATCCCAAAGGGACAAATATCTCTTCACTGAGAGAGGACAGGTATGTTCACTGGCAAGAAGATGAAAAACTAAAATGGGCTGGAGAGATGGCTCAGTGGTTAAGAACACTGTTCTTACAGAAGACCTGGGTTCGAATCCCAGCACCCACATGGCAGCTAACAACTGTCCCTAACGTGGTTAAGAACACCGGTTGTTCTTGCAGAAGACCCAGGTTCAAATCCCAGCACCCACATGGCAGCTAACAACTGTCTGTAACTCCAGACTCCAGTTACAGGGTATCCGTTGGCCTCTTCTGTCCTCCGCGGGCATTGCATGACGTGTGCACATACATGTAGGCAATAAGCTCATACACATAAAATAAAAATAAAATATTAAAAAAAAATAAAATATGTAGTAGTTTACAGGATGGCTAGTGCTGTGGATAAAACACAACATGATAAGGGTGTGGGACTGTGGACTGGTATGCTGCTGTAGTCAGGATGCTTAGGGAGGCCTTTTAGAGTGGTGGCCTCCTGAGCACTGAAAAGGATCTTGCTGTTGATGCTGCCAGGCAAAGCATATTGTGTTGGTGGGGGAAAGAGCAGAAGGATTGCAGACACAAAGTCCCCAAGGAAGAGTTGCCTAGTAAGAGAGCAAAAGAGCCTTGCAGTGGGAGTCAGGTGAACTGAGATGCCCAGAGGGGGGCTACATAATTAAGAACTGACTTTGGCTGTGGGTGAGCAGGGCTCCTGGAAGCCCGGAAGCAGAGGAGGGAGGGATGGTTAACTGTTTTTCATAGGCTCCCACTGACTTTAGTGTGGGAAACAGACTGAGCAGGCAGTAGGTGGGCCTGGACCCTGGTGGGGCCTGTGGAGTGAGGAAAAGGTGACTTCAGTGTATCCTAAAGCTGAGTTGATAGGGTTCAGGAATGAATTGGACCTGAGGTACAAAAGACAGACACTAAAGAAGTGATCTAGCCTCTTCATAAGATAACTGAAAGGACTCCACACTCAGGACTGTGGGGACTTGCCATGCTGTTGTGCTTTAGAAACTACTGGGCACTAGACTTGTAAGCCTGGAGCTATTGGAGGTCAGATTCAGACAGGGCATGGCAATACTGGTGGGAAAGGGCAATCCCCACCTGGCACATATCTTGGGTAGGCTCACTGTCTCTGCACAGTGGAAGCAGGCTGGAGTACTGTGATCAGCCCAAGACTGTATAGCTAAGCCCTGCCATGCCAGCTGCCCAAATGGCTGGCCCCATTTGAATGGGCTTTCTTTTATTTATGTATTTATTTTTTTGAGGTTGGATCCTACTATGTAGCCCAAGCTGTCCTCTATCTAGCTTAGGATCCTCCTGCCTCAGTCTCTGAAGTACTAGGACCAGGGCCATGTTCTACCACATTGGATTTGATGTCCCTTGAAGGTGTTCATGTCCCAACCACACTTGGGCATGGGTGGGAGCTGCTTGGTGAGTGGGCCAATTGGGGGGAAGCACAGCTGTGCTAAAGGAAGGAGTAGGCAGAGGAGCCTGTTCTGTGGGGAAGGACCTCACAAGGAATAAAGAGAGCCAAACAGCACCATCAGTGCTGGTAGTGATCAGGCTCCTGATCCTGTCCCCACTGCTGATGGGGCTAGGATTCTTGTTGCTTGACTCTCTCCAGGTGGGGAGGTAGACAGTACCTCAGGGCCCAGGCAAAAGCAAAGTGCCTGGGTATGTGGCCACAGTAGTCCTCCCCTTCTTCACAGACAGTGGAACATGGCTTCCCCAACCAGCCCAGCGCCTTGGCCTTCGACCCAGAGCTTCGCATCATGGCCATTGGCACCAGGTCTGGGGCTGTCAAGATGTATCCTTTGCGACTCTAGTGCTCAGGGACTGTGTGCCTATTGTGTGCCACTCTCTTCATGCTGGGGTCCCAGCCACAGCAGGTGCTTCACGGAGACTACAGTTTTGTTGGGACCTTTGAGGAAGTTGGCTATGCCCATGTGCTTGTGACAACTCCTTAGAGATGATGGAGTCTTTTTGCTGGGAGATGCCTGATTCAGAGAGGTCAGTTTGCAATGACCATAGCTGTCCCTTTGCTGCCTTTCAGTCTGCCAGTTCCTAGGTGACTTTGCCATTGTCTCAGCAACTATGACTGGGGTGGTTGGGGGTGGCCTGGGGCCCTAGTTGAGAGAATGCACACCTGTAAATGCAAAGATACATGTTTCAGCTGAGGGGTGGGGGCAGTGCCAGGCTCAGCATGGTGAGTGTGACACAGCCTCCACCTGGTCCCTGATGCCATACAATGGGCTGAGTGAGCTGCACAAAGCAGGCATTTTCCTGCAGCCCAGGGTGGGGGTAGGGTAGTAGGCTACTGGATATCTCTTTTCATCTTGGAAATAAATACCATCCCAATAGACTTTCAAGGGAACTGAGGTGCAGAGTCTGGCTAGCAGCTGCTTGGTGAAGGCACCTGCCTCCTACTCCCCTCCCTACATGGCATAGGGATTTCCTCACTATGATCTGGAGCCCTAGCCAGATGGGAGGAGTCTGGCTTGTGGTTTGTGAGCTGATAGCATGCCCTAAGGAGTGTGGCTGGGTTGGGATGGCCTTTCCTCTCGCATGGGCCCTTAACAGACCAGTGGGTGTTGGTGGGGCAGTGACCTGGCCCCACTGGACCTGCTGCTCCAAGCCCTCGTGGGTGCTGTGCCACTATACTTGTGTCCCTGCAGCCTTGTTCTGTGTTGCAGATGTCCACATCTCTGCCTATACAGGCTTGACTGCCAGCCACTTGGGCCATCCTTCCTGTGGCAGTTGGCTCCTCTTGCTGAATACAGATGAGGATACCGAGCCTTAGAGGCCAAGGCCTAGAATCCCTTCTCTTTCCCCCTTCCTCCAAACTCCCACAGCCTAGAGCCCCTGGGGTTGGGAAACTGAGGTTGGAGAGCTCTAGCTCTGGTCTCAGCAGCCTTCCCTCCCCCTGCCTCAGGTCCCATCTCCTTGGAGACCCTGCTTCCTACCCAGCTGCCCCTGCCCTCTCTTTTGTCCTTGCTCTGTCCTTGCCAGGCTCCTGCAGGGAGTCCTAACTCAGTCTCCAGGCAACAGCTCCTGCCTGGTTACCAAGGCAACATCACTGACCCATCCTTCAGCCTTCTTGGGCCCCTGAGGCCTTGCTGCTCACTCTCAACCCTGGAGGTGCTGGAGCACTGGGAACTTTAGACCACCCCCCCTCTCCCAATCTTTGTACTCATCTGTAAAATGGGCAGTAGAAGCTGTTGGCCTCCTGTCCTGGAGGGATGTGGGGGTTCTTGCCCATAGCTGGAGTTGGACCTGAGTCTATAGAATGAGGCAGTTCCAGGGCTGTCCTGTTTTGGCTTGGTTTCTCTGACCTCTGCTTCTAGGCACTTGGCCCAAGTAGACATACCAGAGGCTGGGGCAATAATGCTGGACAGGTTGTATTCTTTTTCCACCTACAGCAACAGCATTCCAGGAACATGAAAGGCCTACAGCAGCACTTGGGGGTGTTGTATGGAGCTTGCAGGGACTTTGGGGGTGCAGGAGTAGTGTTGCTACAGGGAGAGGATGCATTGTGTCCTGGATGACCCCTGGACCTCTCGTTGGACAGGGCCTGTCTGAACTGTCCTGACTAGCCTGCATGAATTTGTCCTTGACCAGTCACCTCAGCTATGGTGCACCTGGCGTTGAGTTTACAGGCCTACACCGAGATGCAGCCACTGTCACCCAGATGCATTTTCTGCCTGGCCAGGTGAGCGCCTGCCCTCCAGCACGAGCACTATGTCCCCAATTCCGTATCTTCCCATCCCTCCAGGCCAGTCCCATTTTGGTCTTTACTCCCCACACCAGGGCCGGCTCCTGACCCTGCTAGATGATAGCAGTCTGCATCTGTGGGAGATCATCCATCACAATGACTGTGCCCACCTGGAGGAAGTGCTCAGCTTCCAGCCACCCAGCCGAACCAGTTTTGACAGTGCCAGGTACTAGAGGACCAGGCTGGGGTATTGGGGAGGTCCTAGGAGCTCCAAGGCAGGGAAGGGACAGGCAGCTGCTGGTGAGGCTACAGTTTAGGGTGGGATGTGTGGAATCTTGCTTGGCTAGGGCTCTGCTAGGCAGAGGTGTCCTGGAGTAAGGACTAGATATGAGGCTGGGTCTGAGGCTAGTAGGCAAGGTCTGTGCTCCCACTATGGGAGCCTAGTGTTTGGGTGTCTCTAGTAGGTATGTGTGTTATATACTCAACTCCTTGGACCTGCACCTTGCACTGTGCTCCCTGGCGGGGTTGTCTAGGGGTTTGGGACAGGCCTAAGCCAAGGTGATACCAGCAAAGCTGCAGGCTGGCCTTGGATTTTCAGTGGTCCTCATCCTCCAGGTGCTGGAATTATAGGTGTGTGCCACCATGCCTGGCTTTTCCATGGCTTCTTGGGGTGGGAGATAAGCTACTAGTACATTGACAGACAGCAGGTTGACAGCAAGGAGGATCTTGCAGGATGAGCTTGGTACACACAGCAGGTCAGGCCTCCCACGTAAGGGACCTTTACCCTCACCCTTGCTAGAAATAGCTGGAATGGAATAGTCCTTGACCACAAGTGAGTTTCTGAGCAGTCTGTCACTGTAGATGGACCATTTGTACCCTTCTGCAGTCTAAGGTGTCTAGGCTGGTTTCAGGCGCTCTGACTGGGGCAGCGCTCTGGTTTTGCCTCAGAGAGGCACAGTGGTGAGAGGTGCTGGGAGTCCTCTGAGACCTGGGAACTTAATTTTGTCCCTTTCTCTGCTGACATGCTGGTGAATAATTGAGTGGGCTAATTACACGGCATGCTGCCTTTCTGAGTGCTAGCCTGTTCTGTGAGCAGGCCCTGTGAGTATAGAGGGGTATGAGTGAGCCCACAACAAGGGCCTATAGCCTGTCCCACCCTCCCCAGCAGGTAATGGGCTCAGTCTTAGCCCTTTCCCTTCTTCCCTGCAGTGCCCCTACCAGTCTCACCCGTGTCACCGTGGTCCTACTGGTAGCTGGCAATACGGCAGCCCTGGGAACCGAGAGTGGTAGTGTTTTCTTCCTGGATATTACCACCCTGACACTGCTGGAGGGGCAGACCCTCAGCCCAGAAGAGGTTCTCTCCAGGTGAGTGGTAGGTAGATGGCAGACCATTGGAACTTCCCATTTCTAGAGCATTCTCCTGACCCTCTGGGGCTCTCTGCAGTGTGCCAGATGACTACCGGTGTGGGAAGACCCTAGGTCCTGTAGAGTCGCTCCAGGGACATCTGCAGGACCCCACCAAAATCCTCATAGGCTATAGCCGGGGCCTGCTGGTTATCTGGAACCAGGACACAAAGCATGTGGACCACATTTTCCTGGGGAACCAGGTAAGCAGGTGAGGCCCACGTGCTCCTTTTTGGGCCCCTGTACATACCTTCTGGCTCATGCCATCCTGTCCCTGTCCACAGCAACTGGAGTACCTGTGTTGGGGGCGTGGTGGCAACACCATTATCAGCTCACACAGTGATGGCAGCTATGCCATCTGGTCCACAGACACTGGCAGCCCCTCGACACTTCAGCCCACAGTAGCCACCACGCCCTATGGTAAGCACTGGTGAGGCTTGAGCCAAGGTGGGTGACTGGAAGGTCATCTGGTCTTGGTGAGGGCATTGCCTAGCCAAATCTACAGGAGACCCTGGGAGGTATTGCTGGGTGTGGGCCTTCCCCTGGGAGAGGCACATGGACCAGGAATGGGAGGTCTGACGCTCTCCCCACCCCCAGGCCCCTTCCCCTGCAAGGCCATCAACAAGATTCTGTGGCGGAGCTGTGAGTCAGGGTAGGTGGAGAGGGCAGCATGGGAGGGGGCTTGTCTGGCTGGGGGCTAGAGGATTAGGCTCTGGGTACAAAAGGGTGAAGCCCTTACTGGGTTTTGCAGTGTGTTCCCAGTTCTCCAGGGGCTTCTGGCTCACATGACACCCCCTCCCCTCACAGGGGCCACTTTATCATCTTCAGTGGTGGCATGCCCCGTGCCAGCTATGGTGACCGCCACTGTGTGAGTGTGTTACGAGCAGAGACATTGGTGACGCTGGACTTCACCTCCCGTATCATTGACTTCTTCACAGTGCACAGCACGCAGCTTGAGGATGGTGTGTATTCTACCTCCCTCATTCCAACTTGCCCATTGTGTTTTTGGACTGAGCTTACTTACCCAATTCCACAGAATTTGATGACCCCCAAGCCCTAGCTGTGCTGCTGGAAGAGGAACTGGTGGTGCTGGACCTGCAGACACCAGGTTGGCCAGCTGTGCCTGCCCCTTACCTGGCCCCACTGCACTCATCAGCTATTACTTGCTCTGCCCATGTTGCCAACGTCCCAAACAAGCTGTGGGCCCGCATTTTGAGTGCTGGTGAGCAGCAGAACCCCCAGCCTGCCTCCAGTGCCTTGGTGAGTGCCGGTGTCTTGTGGCCCAGGGGTGAGGTGAGGATAGTCATTATTCTGGTGGAAGACAGTGCCCAGCCCAGGCGCTGGTGGGAATGTGATGGACATATTTGGGGAACTCTGAATATCATGCCCGGGATGGGAGGGAGACCTTCACCATAACCTTGAGCTCCCTTCTTTGTTGTCTTTCTTAGAGCTGGCCCATCACTGGGGGCCGGAACCTGGCCCAGGAACCAGCACAGCGTGGGCTGCTACTGACTGGGTAGGTGGAGGGTGGGGGTGGCAGATAAGGCCTAGTACCCACCAGGTCTTATTTGCATCTTTATCCCAGATCTTTGAGACTGACATGCTGAGTGATGCCAGCCTGGTCCCAGCAAGTCCAGGTTGTCCCACAGAAGTTTGTATGAAGGAAGGCTCTCTAGATGTGGCTTAAAGCCTGATCCTGTGCTTCCTATTGGCCTGAAACTGAATTCCAGCACAACCCAGGCTCCACCCACCCAGCCTGCCTGCCCTGACTAGAAAATCCTGGCTGGCCTATGTTGACTCTCAAGTCAGGTGCAGGAGAGCCAGGCTAGCCAGGCTAGGTCTGGGTGCTGGTGACTCAGGCCTTACTTCCTGCCTCACCCCTCCCTCCTGTCTGTGCTGGGACCCTCAGGCCTTTTTAGGCAACTTGCCCTTTCCTATTCAGAGCTTGTGACCTCCAATGCTGAAGAGCCTCAACCAGCCCCAAGCTCTACCTCCTTTTCTACTGCCTGGGTCTGGGAACCTCACCACCTTGGGGGTCCCATTGGGGCTCTGCAGCTGTGTTCTAAGGTTGTGCCCTAGTTTTGTCTACTCTTCCCCCTTCCCCAGTCTTCTGCTGCATCACCTGCATGACCACCTTGGGCCTCTGTTGTTCCTGCCACCTGCTCTGATTTCTGAGTACCCCCACGAGGGCAGAACTACCTAGTCTCTGTCTCTGTATTTTTCCCCCCTGCCATTTTCTGGTTGTCAAGTAGTCAGGTGGTCTTTTCTTTCTTTCCTTTTTTTTGAGGCAGGGTCTCCCTGTAGCCCCAGCTGGCCTGCAGTTTGCTATGTAGATCAGGCCAGCTTGAGTTCTTGATTCCACAGAGATCTGCATGTCTCTGCTTCATGAATGCTGGGATTAAAGGCGTGTGCCTGGCCTTTATTTTAGTTTGAGGGTTTTTTGTTCTTTTTGTTTTTTGAGAGAACCTCACTAAGTAGCCTTGGCTGGCCTGGAGCTTACTATGGAGACCAGGCTGGCCTTGAACTCACAGCGGTCTGCCTGCCTCTGCCTCCTTGGTTCTGGGAACAAAGGCATGTGCCACCAAGTCCAGCCTCAAGGTGGTCATTTCTACAGTTCTGCATCTCTGTAGACAGGGCTTAGGTGCATGTGATGAGTGTAGCCTGTTGTGCAGGAGGTACTAAGTACCTATTTCTCCTACGTAACAGGTGCTTACTGCCATATACACAGGATTACAGCTAGCGGGGCATATATAATAAGTACTATAGTGGGCATTAGAGGAATGACTGGGGGGTTGTGAACTTCCCAGGAGTGGTTCTGATACCCACCCTCTCTACAGTCATGAGGATGGCACTGTACGATTCTGGGATGCCTCTGGTGTGGCACTGCGGCCACTCTACAAGCTGAGCACAGCTGGCCTCTTCCAGACAGACTGTGAACATGCTGACAGCCTGACCCAGGCCGCCGATGATGACTGGCCACCCTTCCGCAAGGTGCCCCCTGACCTCATCCTCTGCCCTGGCCTTGGAACTTGTCATAGCTCTGCCTAGTGTCATCATTCCATCTTGTCCCTTCAGGTGGGATGCTTTGACCCCTACAGTGACGATCCCCGGCTAGGCGTACAGAAGGTTGCACTTTGCAAGTACACAGCCCAGATGGTGGTGGCTGGCACTGCAGGCCAGGTGGGGCTGGTGTCCCCAGGTGTGGTTACCCGGGAGGCTTTCTGCAGGAGGTGGGTGGGCCTGGAGGGTCCATTGTAGAGGGAGGGAACCAGTATAGGCAGTAGGTCAGAGTGGGAGTGGGACACCAAGTGGAGTTAATTGGGGTGAGTACAGATGGGAAGTAGGGTGTGTGTCACTTGAGCTAGGGCTCTAGTGGGGAAACCAGAGTCTTAAAGAGGCTGTGGACAGGAACATGGGTATTAGATGTGCTCAGCAAGGACAGAACTCAGTGGGTCTCAGTCACAGCTTGTATTTAGCACTTCACTGTATACACAGAACTTAGTGTTTGCTCCTTGCATAGTAGGAGAGATGGGCTCAGGTAAGAGTCAAGGGTTCTAGAAGGGCAGGGACCAGCAGATTTGGTCACCATGATGTTCTTGGTGCTTAATGATGAAGTCTTTGATATATAGTAGATATTCAAAGAGGCTTATTGGGTAAGTGAATCAATACATATGGAACCACCCTGGTAATGTTTGGATGGGACTCTCCTTTGCTTACCCTTCCACCTTCTGTGGCCCAGGTGCTGGTACTGGAGCTCAGTGACGTGCCAGCGGAGCATGCAGTTAGTGTGGCCAGTGTGGACCTCCTTCAGGACCGTGAGGGCTTCACATGGAAGGGCCATGAGCGACTAAGCCCACGCACAGGGCTGTTGCCTTGGCCTGCTGGCTTCCAGCCACGTGTACTGGTACAGTGCCTACCACCAGCTGCTGTCACTGCTGTCACACTCCATGCTGAGTGGAGCCTTGTGGCCTTTGGTACAAGTCATGGTTTTGGCCTATTTGACTATCAGCGCAAGAGCCCAGTGCTGGCCAGGTATGTGGATAGGTTTGGTAGCTGGAGCCCTGATGAGACGGATCTGGGCTTTACTTTCCTTCTGAAGCTTGCTATGGCAAAGGCAGGCTAATTGGGAAAGTCCCTATTACCTATCTCCCTTACTCTGAGCAAGAACTAGTCAGCTCTTCTGGCTGCTGGGGCCATAGGCAGTGCTATAAGGCTCTGGCTTCCTGACCTGGGCTTCATGACACCTGGCTTTGGGATAGTAGTAGTACAATACAGATCTACAGCTGGCCCTGTCACCCCCAGATGCACCCTTCATCCCAATGACTCACTGGCTATGGAGGGGCCACTGTCCCGGGTGAAGTCTCTAAAGAAGTCACTGCGCCAGTCGTTCCGGCGCATCCGCAAGAGCCGTGTCTCAGGCAAAAAGCGGGCTACTAATGCTAACAGCAAGGTGAGCCAGGACTAGCACAGCCTGTCCCCACACCCTGGCCTAAAGCCCTGGGGTTTGCTCAGTTGCCATGTCCTCCGTGCAGGGAGCTGAGCAGGTCAATCGATGGTGATGCCTGCTAGGTGCTAAGCAGAATGGGACCCTGGAAAAGCATGTCCAAGAGCCTCTGGCCCTTCTAGTTGCAGGAGGCCAATGCACAGCTGGCGGAGCAAGCTTGCCCCCATGATGTGGAGATGACCCCTGTACAGCGCCGCATTGAACCCCGCTCTGCTGATGACTCCCTCTCTGGGGTCGTACGCTGCCTCTACTTTGCTGACACATTCCTTCGAGATGGTGAGGCCAGGGTAGGGATGGGGTTGGAGAGATTGGATGGCCTCTGTAGTGGTGGGGGAGGTGATAAGCACCTACTATGTGCTGAGCTATACTTTGGGATACCCTGGCCACCTGTATAGCCCCCCATGGGAACACACAGGGGTGGGGGTGACTGAGCTACACAGGCCCTGAAGAGTTGGACAAGAAGGGAGCTATGGGAAGGGAAGACAGGGCCAAGGTGGTGCAAAGGCCCTGTAGTGGGCAGGTGGAGAAAGGCCTGTTGGGGCTAGATTATGGGAGCAAGGACAGAGGGGAAGATTAGACAGGAATGGTGCTGGCTGTCATTCTAGGGACTTGGCTTTGACTCTGGTAGAAGCTCCTAGTGTACCTGTGTGTGTTGATGGTTCTTTGAGTTTTACATTGTATAATGGTGAATTTGAAACACAAGAATAGAGGGTATCCAGTCATCTGTGTACCTGAGCTCAGCTGCCATCCCATATCTGCTGAATTGTGTGTTGTCTCCATACTCTGTTTTTTCTGTTTTTATTGCTGTAATTTGAGATTGTGTCTCATGCAGCCCAGGCTGACCTTGAACTCTCACTATACAGCTGAGGATGATCTTGAACTGTCCTCTTGCTTCCGCCTCCCAAGTGCAGAGATGACAGGCATACACCACCACCTACTATTCTATCTTGCTGCAGTATTTTAAATGAAAACCGTGGCAAGTCTCTGACTGCCATGCTACCCATCAAGCCCCCTAGGAACCCTGGGTAATTCCTAAGGCTTAGATGGTTCTCAACCCACAAAAACCCTCTTTTTGATGCTATACCCATGTCCAGAGTCTTAGTCCAATAGCTTTTTCTACCATCTGGATGTGGGTAGCCTAAGGGTTTTAACTCACTTCACACCCCTGTGAGGCCCCATAGCTTTTGACTGGGGTGCTTTGCTCTGGCTTAGTTGTCAGGGCAGAGTGGTGGATGCCCACACTCGCTCTGCTCCTACATTGTTTAGCTCTGATTCTTCACTAAAGGTGGCATGCCAGAGACTGGGTTCATTTCACCCAGGCCTCAGGGTTTGTGTGTAGCAGGAAATGAGTAGCAGTAGGGTGAGGTGGCAAGGTAGGGCCTGGGTCTGAGCCTGGGCACAGCAGCCCAGTGAAAGCTGATTCCCAAGGATGTGGGGGAGGGGCTCACCTGTGGTGTTTGAGGACTGAGTGACAGGTATGAAGGAGCTGGGTTTACTGACATGAGTTGAGGGTATCAGGATCCAGTTGGTGGCTCCAATAGTCCCTGTTGCACATGCCCTCAAGGGAGCTGCATCATCACTGCTCTGGTGTTTCAGGTCAGCGGGTTGAAGTCACACAATAGACATGAGACAGGAGGGAGCTCACCCTGAACTCTGAACCCTACAAACAGAAGGGGAAGGTACAGGCAATAGAGAAGGTTCTGAAATGTGGGGTTCCCTCCTTACTGTGCCTGTCCCCCACAGCGGCCCACCATGGGCCCACCATGTGGGCAGGCACCAACTCGGGCTCCGTGTTTGCTTATGCGCTGGAGGTTCCAGCAGCCACAGCAAGTGGTGAAAAGCGACCAGAGGAGCAGGTAGTAGAGGCTGTGCTGGGCAAGGAGGTACAGCTGATGCACCGGGCACCTGTTGTGGCCATTGCTGTGCTGGATGGGCGCGGCCGCCCACTGCCTGAGCCCTACGAAGCCTCCCGGGACCTGGCACAGGCACCTGACATGCAGGGTGGGCATGCAGTACTCATTGCATCTGAGGAGCAGTTCAAGGTGAGTGGCCATGGGAGGTGAGAATCTGTCTAGGCCCCCCTCTTGGACCCTCTAGAACCCCTGCCCTGTCCATTTCCCCTACCGAGGCCTAAATCCCTCCTACTCTAAAGTGCCTTCAGCCAGCAGAGGTCCCTGATGACCTGGATTCTTCCTAGACCTAAGTTGCCCTAAGGCCCTCCAACCTCACTGCCTTCTCCAAAGACTCTATGGGAACCCTTTGAGTCCAGTACCCAGGGGCTTATGATTTGGAGGAGGTACCAGGCATAGAACCTTTATGACTATGTCTGGTTGGTCTGGCCACTGGTGGAAACCAGGAGTTCTGGACATTCTGAAGCCTGGCCTGAGTCTGCAGGATGGGATGGCTGGTTAAGTGGGTAGCACTGTGACATGTGCAGTTGGGGGTCAAGACCTGCATGGCCAGTTGGTTGTCTGCAGCTGAGTAAGGGGCTCTGTGGGTAGGACACGGCTGGGCCTAGCTCACTGGCCATCTGCCACCAGGTATTCACACTACCCAAGGTGAGTGCTAAGACCAAATTCAAGCTGACAGCCCATGAAGGTTGTCGTGTGCGGAAAGTGGCCCTGGCTACCTTTGCCAGTGTGGTGTGTGAGGACTATGCTGAGACCTGCCTTGCCTGCCTCACCAACCTGGGTGACGTCCACGTCTTCTCGGTACCTGGTCTGAGGCCACAGGTGCACTACTCCTGTATCCGGAAGGAGGACATCAGTGGCATCGCTTCCTGTGTCTTCACACGCCATGGCCAGGGTGAGGTGGGGCAGATGGTCGGGGACAAAAGCTGGGAACAGCAGAAAGAGCGCAGGCTCTGCCCATGTACTGAAAAGGTGCCAGCTAAGGTGTTGGGCAAGACTCAGTCTTCCTCATATACTCCTTGCCTGTCTTTCCACAGGCTTTTACCTGATTTCTCCATCAGAATTTGAGCGCTTCTCCCTGAGTGCTCGCAACATCACAGAGCCACTTTGCTCTCTGGACATCAGCTGGCCTCACAGTGCCACCAGACCCAGGTATGTGCTGGGTGGGCCAGGTCTTGCCCCACTGGTGTTACCACCTGTCCCAGTTTGGGGATAGGAAGGCAGCACCTGCAAGGATCCCCACCACATCTCATCCATCTCTAGGCACAAGCTTCAAGAGTCACCAAAGCTGAGCCAGGCTAATGGGACCCGGAGCATCATCCTGGCCCCACAGAGCTGTGAAGGAAGCCCTGACTCCACCCACAGTAAGCAAGCTGGTGAGAGGTCACAAGGTAGGGGCAGGCACTGGCCTGAGGGTGTCCTGAGGGAGAGGGGGTAGTAAAGACATAGCCCAGTGCCTTTGAGCCAGGGGTGGAGGCTGCCAGGAGAAAGGTAAGTATACCTGTGTGCACACATCCCCTTGTGGGCTACGGTTAGGACCTGCATCCTGAGGTTTCTGGGTGCACAGGGTACTGAGTCTTAGCAGGGACTGAGCACTTCTTCCCAACAGACACCACAGAACTTCCTGAGGCTACACTCTCGCCCATGTCCATTGATTCAGCCACCAGTGGGGATACTACGCTGGACACGACAGGGGATGTCACAGTGGAAGATGTGAAGGATTTCTTGGGGTGAGGCCAGTTGCTCTTGCCCCAGCCCCCATCCCCAGGGCCACTAAAGGGCCTTCCCCACTACAACTCTTCTGATCACTGCCCCATCCCCAGCTTTTCTGAGGAATCTGAGAAGAATCTGAGGAACCTGGCAGAAGATGAGGCCTGGGCCTGCAGTCTTCTGATTAAATGAGGTGCTGTAGGGGGCAGCCAGGCCTTCCTCACCACCCAACAGCTGCCATCCCCCAGGTCCTACCTAGGACTCACAGTCATGATTGTCACAGTTCATTGCTAGCCTTGAGGTCCTGGGTATTTGGAAGGTCAGTTCTGACAACTGGGTGTAGCAGCTAGGGGTGCATCCAGTTTGGCTAACTCATTTCATAGGAGAGTCACTGAGGTGATCTGTTCTGCCTGTTAAGCCAGCACATGGCGCTCACTTGCCCTAACCATGTCCTGTGATGAATCTAGCCTACCCAGAGCCCAGAGACACCTGGACCTTCGTACCTAGTGCCTCTACACCCTTCATTGGGCATAGACACTACTTGTTCTTCTTGCAGTACTTGGGCCCCAGCAAGCCCATCACAGGCTGTTACTGAAGAGCCCTGCCTGCCTTGAACAGGACACTGGAATGGCCTGGGTTTGCTCCCCCTAGCCTTCACTATATAGCCCAGCTACTGCCTGTCTTGACCAGGTCCTTAACATTGACCCACACCTGTTAACCAGTGGGATCCAGTTTTCACTGATGCTGGGCCCTAGAGCCAGCCTAGCTCAGGGTCAGCTGGAGGTTGTGAGTGCTAGTCCCCTCCATCTTGCACTCCACACTGTCCTTTCTCCTCCCTTAGCAAAGAATATTTTTTTAAAGCTTGGACTGGGCTGCACAGTTATTTCTAAAAGTATTTTGGTACTTTGTTCTGGCCTCTATGTGTGTACTCATGTGACTGGAAGCTCTGTGCTGGGCACTCACAGCTAGAGTCAGTGTTTTTTTTTTGTGTGTGTGTGTGTGTGTGTGTGCGTGTGTGTGCGTGTGTGCGCGCGCGCGCGCTCTGTGCTGGGCACTCACAGCTAGAGTCAGTTGTGTGTGTGTGTGTGTGTGTGTGTATGTGTGTATGTAGGGTGAGGATAGGCTTCCCTGTAGACTGTACCTTGGGCTTTTTCTGTCATTTTTTTAAAAATTAGTTGTTTTAATATTAAAAATACTGATTTTTAATACTGAAAATAAAAGCATTTAATATCTCTTAAACTACATCTGCTGCATACTCTCACACACATTGGTGGGGCTGGGGGCTGAACTGCTAAACAGGCAGGTGACTGGTAGGTAGCTGGAGCAGGTGCTGAAAGGATGCTTCTTCCTCAACGGGCCACACGACTACCTACGCTGGAGCTTGGCGGAAGGTGCTCCAGGCATGGAAGCAGCGGGTGAAGGCCCGCTGCTCATTGCCTTTGCGGACCAGGCGCAGACAACGTGGTCGTTCATTTTCTTTGGAGCGTGTGTGCTGGATGTATACCTGGTGAGGAAAACAGTGGACCCAGGTGGTCTGCTGGGTCAACCATAGTGCCCTGTCTCCCACTTCTGACCAGGATGATGGTAGTTCTGGAAACCATGAGGCTGGCCCAGTGCCCTCCCCTTACCTGGCAGGCCTTCAGACTCAGTTTGATCTCTACTTGGCTTGTCTGGGTCCCCACCCACATGTAGACCTGAGGAGACAGCGGGGGAAATGGCCACATGGGTGACTTCGTTCGTTCGTTCATTCATTCACAGGGTTTCTCTGTAGCCCCAGATGGCCTGGAACTAGCTATGGTAGACCAGGCTGGCCTTGATCTCAGAGATCCATTTGCCTCTGCTTCCTGAGTGCTCGGATTAAAGGTGCTATGGCCTTTTTTTTTTGGCAGTGCCAAGAATTGAACCCAGGGTCTTTGTACTTCCTAGTCAAGTACTCTAACTGCACATGGCTGACAGGAATGCTCCCCTTCTGGTCCCACAATGTTCATCTACAAGTGGGTGGGCTCCTGATCAATAGGCAGGGTCACTGTGGTGGGGTAATATCTCACCTCTCGGCCATTGTCTAGCAACATGATATCGTCATCCGCCAGGTCATCTTGGCAGAAATCAGAGCACTTTTCAGTCACTGCAAAGTAGCCCTTCTCATTGGAGCATCTGAAAGGCAAAGGTCAAAGTGAAGCCAAGGTGGAGAGCAGCACTGAGGAGACTGGAGGAGGAGGGGGAGGCACTCACCTGAACAGCCTCGTGTGCTTCATGTACTCGGCATCGTCGTCATAGGGCTTCTGTGCTCCAATGCCCACCCAGAAGAAGTTCTCGGGCTCCTCGCCTTCGTTGATGACCTGTGAGAAGGGTGGATCAGCCAAGGCCCTCATCTGCTCTGGCTCACCTTCCTACCCAACCCCCACCTGTCACCTGTTTGCTGTAGGAGGTATCAAACATAGTATTCAGGATGTCCTCTGCCAGCTTGGCTTCGTCAGGGTCTGATGCTCGGCCCACCCAGGCATATACAATGCCTTGATTGTCTTCACTCTCAAAGGGGACCTATGGCGTATATAGGGATTTGGGTCAGGTCCAGTTTCTCACCCTTCACCCCATTCTGCTGTCCTGCTAGCAGGCCCACCTTGAGGATGAAGCAGAACTCAGAGTTGAGGAGGCTGGAATCAGTATTGATCTGGATGCACCTGGGGGGGGGGTCGGGGGGCAGAATTAGCAAAGAGTTCCTGCACTGTGGAACCCTGCCCCCATCCCCCAGCCAGATACCCACCGGGTACAGAGTGCACTGCCATTGGTGCGGATCTGGTAGAGGCTTGGCTGGAGGGCACCCTGGGCCACCTTTCTTTTGCCTCGGTGGATGATGAATTTTCTCTTAAAATGTGTCAGAAACTTGGGGTTCTCCTGCTGCTGTGTCATGCGTACTACCTGGGGGTCAGAGTGTTGGGAAGTTCCCTTGACCCTGCCTACTATTCAAGGGACAAACCACCCAGGCAGGTCTGGGTTGGACTCTACCCTTCCCCACCATAGACCATAGAGGCAGTGCCTCAAGCTTGTGTGAAGGGCACACCTCCAGCTTGCCGGGGAAGAGGCTCTCAAACTTCTTCTGCAGACTAAAAGTGAAGGTGAGCCAGCCCATATTGGAAGCTTCCCGACCCTGCCAGAAGTAAACGATGCACTGGAAATCCTCCTCTGGTTGCTTTTCTGCTTCGGCTGCTGCCTCTTCCCCTTCTTTGCTCTCTGCTGAGGCCTTCTCCTTGTCTTCCTTTTTCCCTTCCTCCTCATACTCCACAGGCACCCAGTACCTGTGATTAGACAGGGGTGAGCAGGGGCTGCCCAGGGAAGAGGACAAGAGGGTAGCGTACTGCGGTGGCACCTGCAGAGGAAGACGTAGCAGTCCTGCATGTAGAAGTGGCCAAATTCCTCCTCTGGTAGCCGTGTGAACTTCCGGCCCTCTAGCACGAAGCCCTCCATGCCGTCTAGGTCCTCGTTCCATTCTTCCATAAGCTGCTCTGCCTGTTGCCCCACCCCCAAGGGAAGTCTGAGCATGCAGCACAGAGCGCCCCCACCCCGTACCTCACTCCCTCACACACGCCTTGCATCTACCTCAGCCAGTGCCATTGGTGGCTGCCGAGGCAGGAAGAGTGCAGTGAGGTCAGCCTTCATCTGGTCTTTTTTCTCAGTGTCACGCTTCACCTTCCCAGAGAGCCCCAGGCCCTGCAACACAGCCTCTGCGTTGCGTGTGTAGTCCACTGTCAATACATCGTCCCAATTTTTGAACTTGGCTTTAAACACCTGTAGGGAACAGTATATATCCATGAACTAGAGAGAGGTCCAGCACAGGCAAATTAAGGGCCACAGGATTCAAGAAAGGCTTGGAAAAGGTCAGAGCTCAGGGGGTTGGGTTTAGATAGGAGCTGGGGGTGAGGCTTAGAGAGGGGCCATAGCAAGCTGAAGTTGCAGGGACAGGTTGCTGAGTGGGCAGTTCTGCAAAGATGAAGTGGGTTTTCAGTCCAGCTCTGCAGGGCTGTAGTGCCAGTAGGCCAACAGAGGGGTTAGGACATGGTAGACCACAAGAAGCAAGACTCTGGATGTAGGGGCACACCTGAGCCTCAGTGCCCTCCAGGCTGCGGCTAACCACTGCATGGCGAGGTCGGTGTAGCATCCCACATAGTTCTTGGCCCAGCTTGAGTGCTGCAGCACGCACCAGGCGTGGGGACTTGCGGCCAAGCCAGATGAACACATCAGACCAACAGTCCAGGATGTACACACATCGTGTGTCCAGCAGGCTCTGCAGCTATAGAATGGGAGGTTGGCAGTCAACACCTGGCCACCACAGAATGATAGAGGACCCATGCCTGCCTCCTGCCACCTCACCAGTCTCATTCCGGGCATCAGTTCCACCTTGGGCCGTTTTTTATGTTCCACTGAGAGCTTGTAGTTGATCTGTGGCAGTTCCAGGTAGCCCAGGCCCAGGCCCACCTGGCAGAAGGAAGAGACGTGGCATAGCAGACCCCACCCATATCTGCCCTGGTTCAGGGTCTTGTCCCACCTTGCTGTGTGGCTCAGGCCCATGGCCTTGTCTTTTGGCCTGTTTCTTCCATCTGAATGGCAATTTCAGGACAACCTAATAGTTGAAGGGTTTGGTATGCATTTGTTTGGCTCTTTTCTAGTGCTAGGGGTGAGATCCAGGGTTTCATCCATGCCAGGCACCTACCCTACTACTGACTCCCACCCCCAGTCAGTGGAAAGGCTCTTTTATTGGTCTTTTTGAGACAGGGTTTCCCTGTAGTCCCAGCTGGCATGGAACTCACTATAGACCAAGTTGACCTTGAACTCACAGAGATCCATCTGCCTCTGCCTCCCAAGTCCTAGGATTAAGGCATGCACCACCACACCTGGCAAGGCTTTTTAACACAGCATTTCCTTGCCTACCCAATCCAGGTTCTAACTGTCATGTCCAACTTTCTAACTTGTCTTTTTCTTGCTCATAAGACCTTTAGTCTCCTGCTATCAAAAAACTAAAGCTAAGTGCCCTGCCCTGGTACCTAGGAGCTTCTGGCCCACCACAACATGCTAGGGCCACCCTCAAAGCTTCCGGATTTGAGCTTCTTGTCCAGAAGGTGATGTCCTCCTCCCTCAAAGCTCACTGAACTACCAGGGCCTGGCCTCAATCCAAACCTGCCCTGCACCCCTAGCACCATGACTTACCTTGTACAGCTTGGGCTGGGGTGGCCAAAAGTTGTCAGGTACATGTTTCTTGATTTCAGATGGCTCCCCACCCAGCACCTCCCAGAACTCGGGGGGCTCTTGGCCTTGCACCAGGAGCGTGATTTCTGCTTTCCCTTTACGCTCATTCTTGTTGATTTTCTCTGCAAAAAGCCTGAGGACGATGCAAAACTTTTAGTGAAGCCACGTTATTAGCATACTTTCTGTTGCTCAGAACACCCATAAGACCTGCCTACCTGGCCTTGGTAGTGCTGCTCAGTGTGGCTTGGGCCCCTCGCCACACGTAGATGTCCAGCCCTCCGTCCAGCAGGAACACAAACCTGGACAGGAGGGCAGAAAGAGGTATAACTGTCTCTGTGTCCTCACCCACCCAAAAACCCTCAAGATGTGGTTCTAGTCCTCCTTTTTGGGTGAGCCTCAGACCCTCCTACTAAGCTCTGAGGGGGTGTTAATAAAATTGTTTTCCCAGATGGGAAGGTGGCTGAGGGTCACCCCCACCTCCCTTCCTCCCACCAGGGGGTTCACCTTGGATCCAGGGAGGCACCCTTGATGGGTACAGGCTCCAACCTGATGTTCTTTTTCCCATATACACGGTACATCCTGGGGGCCAGGGTGAGAATGGCTCAGTGTAGGCACCAAGGCCACCTGAACATAACACTCTGGCCTTCATTTCCTCCCTGCTGTCCAGGCCAGTGCCACCCATTTCCATACCCTCACCTGGTGACATAGTGTGTATCTTCCACAGTGTAGAAGCCACTGGCTGTTCCTCCTTCAATGTAGGAGATGTCGTTGTCAAAAACCTGCATGTACAAGTATGGTTTTTCATCACTGAGTTGCCCCCCAGGCCCAACCTCTGTCAGAGTGGGTAGCATTTACACAGGTAAATGTGTGTACAAACCCACAATGATACTCAACAGGATGGGGTACACACACTGAAGCATGGAGCCACACAAAAGTTTATGTGCAGAGTGGTGTATATGCTGAGATGAGTGTTTCAGAGTACAGAAGCAAGTTTATGGAAGTGTGTAAACCTTGGTGATTTGGGGTCAACTCCAACTGCATGCACCTTTCTACAGATAACCAAGCTAGTGGTGTGGAGGAGACCAGCTTCCCAACCACCTTTGTGGTTTACTGTTGACATGACCTTAGCACTGAGCCTGTGGCCTGTCCCAACTTTTGGTTCCAGTCCCCATTTCCCAGCCACACTCCTCATCCTGGCTTCCAGTTCCCAGTGTCAGTGTGAATTATCAGTCCAGCTCCCATAACCAGTCTGCCATCCCCTGACCCCACCCCAGCCACTAACTCCAGCCCAAGGCTCTGGCCACCTTAGGCCTCACAAGACCTCACCTTCTATGTGAGATCTCTTTTGTTACTACCTTTGGCCTCAGCTCCAGCCTACCCTACTCCTGTACTTACAACCCAAGTTCCCCTCTGCCTGTTTCTGCTGGATGCACCTGCAGGAACTCTTCACTTTCATCGCCCATCTCTTCCCGAACAGTACGGCACTCAGCACCCAGGTAGTTTCGCAGGTTAACAGCATGGATAGCAGAGCAGGCTTTCTTGTCAAGAGTGGCCTCTCCGCCGATCCAGTAGTAGATCTCCCAGTTCAGGGAGCCGCTGTCATCCAAAAAGGTCTGGGGGCCAAGATATCAACCATGAGGGTCTTCCAGGGCCACTCTGATTTTCCAGCCCCAGGATGGATACACACATGGCCACTACTGCCTGGACCACCAAACCTGGTCTGCCCTCCTGCCATCTGGAGTCACTGAACCCACATCATGGAGGACACTAGGGGCCAGCCCTCACCTTGAGTACAATGTAGCAGTCAGCCTCATAGAACTTGCCATGGAAGGCTTCCTCCACCAACACGGGCACAAAGTTCTCAATTTGCCAAATGGTTAAGCCAGGCAGCTGGCCCACATCCTCTGTGAAGAACTCTGAGTAGTCAAGGCGTGGCTTCTCCAGGCCCTGGTCCCAGCGCCGTACCTTCCCCCCAGGGGTCCGGGCATCTGCATTCTCCTGGAGACACAGGTACAGTGCTTGACTCTGCTGAGCTCCTCAAGCTGTCCTCTGCTTGCTCCTCACCACAGAGTGTTTGCATTAGTCACTCTGCTCAGAGCCCTCTCTTCCCCTTTAGCAGGGTCCAAGCCACCTACCCAGCCCCAGCCCCTGACTGGCTTACCTCTTGCTTTTTGTTCTTCTCCTGGGCCACATCTGACATGCCTTTTAGCACCTGCTTAGCCTGGTCATCCTGGGCTGAGTCCTTGCGCCTCCGTAGCCGCATCTTTCGAGCCAAGGGGTCTTTGGCCCCACTCCCTACTTATGGGAGGTGCATGCATGTGAGCCCTTCTAGGCTGGCCACTGGATATCCAGTCAAGCAGAGGCCAACCCCATCCTTGTGTCCAGTTTGTATATGGGCAAGCTGAGGGCCAGAGGGGTGCCCTTGTTCCCAGCTAGACATCATCCTACTTACCAGCTGCAGCTGCAGCCACTGTGGCAGGGGAAGCGCCTGCCAGCCTCAGCTGGTTCTGCAGTGAGAAGTCAATGTTGTACCACTCAGCAGCATGGTCAGCAGGCTTTGGCGGCATGACCAGGCTGGGGTTCTCCCGCACATCCAGGACCTGCCAGGCAAGGTCTGAGCTGGGCTCTCACTCCCACCCATATCACACCTGACTTCTTGCTCTTATCTATAGCTGGGAGCAGGGACTAAGTTCTGCTGGCCACCCCTACAACTTCCTATGGGGCTTCAGTGATACTGCAGTTTATGTGGGGACAAGGTAGCTCACGTCTCCCGAATGGCACCTGGGCATCCCCCTCAAAGGGTCCACCTCACTCCAAGGCACAAACACACTCTCTGCTCAGCCTTTCCTGATATCCCTGTCCCCACTCTGGTACTGGCCCAGCTTGTCTGACCTCAATCTCTGTAAGGAAGTGAATGGCCTCTGGGAGGGTCACCAGGCGATTCCTGTTCAAGACGAGTTTCTTCAGCTTTGGGCATCTGTAAGGACAGGGCCAGCCAGAGCCTCAGGGGGGTGTGGTGTTGTAGGCAGGGCCAGGAGGAACGGGGTATGCCAATTCTCTCTCACAGCAGGGACCCACATGAGGGGCAGTGATTTCCAGAAGGGGATAGGAGCCCAAAATTTATATGGTTGCTGGAGCCTTTCTGGCCTAGACCCTATCATTAGCTTCCTAAAGGTGTTCTGGACAACCCAAATTGGGTGAGGGACGGCAAATCAGTTCTTAGCATGATGCATGCCATTGCAGGCTGCAGCATGGGCTCCAGCTGTAAGTGCCCCCGCCCCACCTGCCCAGCACCTGCAGAGACTTTCGGGAATCAGCTCCAGGTTGTTGTTGGCAGCCATGAACTCCTCCAGGCTGCTGAGCTTGCCAATGCCAGAGGGCAGCCCATCGAAGTCCAGCTTGTTGGAGTTCAAGTACAGCTTCTTCAGCTTGGTCAGCTTGCAAATGGCTGACTGGAGGGGTGCAGGGCAAGAGTTAGGGCAGAGCCCAGTACTCATACCCCATCTACCCCAGGTCCCAGACCCAGACTCACAGGCAGAGAGGTGAGCTGGTTGCGGGACAGGTTCAAAGTCTCCATGTGCACCCACTGGTCAACACACAGCGACAGCTCTGAAATCTGGTTGCTGCTAAGGTTGAGGCGGCGCAGGCTGGGGAGGGTATATAGGCACTCAGGCACCCGTGTCAAGTCGTTGCATGACAGGTCCACATCTAGGGCATTGAGGGGGGCACATCAGCTGGGACCCATACCTATACAGCGGGCACCAGAAGCAGCAAGCCCCAGTAGGAACCCTGATTATGTCACCACTAGGCTATGTGGTCTTAGGCAAGTACCAACCTCTCTGACATCTGAGAAACTTATACCAGATGTGTCTAGTGTTCAATATAAGTGGGACATGGTAATCCCGGCACTTGGGAAGCTGAGACAGGAGGACTTCCATGAATTCATGGCCAAGCTGCCTATACAGTGAGTACCAGGCCAACCAGGCATCCAGAGTTATATTACATAGCAAGGCCCTATCTAAAAAAAAGTAGCCTTAACATACCTGTTAGATGTGATTGAAGGACTCACTCAGCCCTTTCATTTCCCTAGGAAGTGGGCAAGCACAGACAGGGGAGAACTGAGGGGGTTCCCTGGACAATCCAGACCTGCAAGGTTGCTCAGGCCCTCCAGGCTAGTGGGAAGATTGCTCTGGGTGCGCTGTGTGTTCCGAAGGTGAAGGGTCTGTAGGGCTATCATCGCTGGGAGCTGCCTGTGAGGACAAGCACTGTCACCCCAGGACAGGCCCACACAAGAGATACAGCTGGGAGTGGGTAGACATGGGGGCAAGACCAAGGGGTGGGCTTGATGCTCAGCAAGCACAGGCTGCTGCTGAGTGCCAAACTCTGGGGTGGAAACGGCCAGGGGATCAGGGAAGGTCAAGGCGCTCACCGGAGTTGAGCATGCAGCAGTGGGTTCCCGTTGAGCACCAGTGTCTGCAGGTGCACAAGGCGGCGCATCTGAGGCGGTAGGCTCTCCAGGTGATTCTCACTGAGGTCCAGGTACAGCAGGTCCGTAAGGTTGATGAATAGTTGGTTGGGGATGGAGTCAATGCTGTGGTGCAGAGGGAGAGGACTGAAAGTCAGTGCCTCGTTCCATCCCCACCTGGCTCTGCCCTCCAGCTCCCCAGCACCTGTTATGGCTGAGGTTGAGCACCAGCATGTTCTTGGCATTCTCCAGCTCCCGTGGGCACTCTGTCAACTGGTTGTGGCTCAAGTCCTGGAGGGCAGGGGCAAGGTCAGGTCAGGGTATCCCCATTTAATCATGCTTGGGGATCTGATTCCATGAACCATGTTGGCCCAGCACTGTCTTCTCTAAGCCTCAGTTTCTCCATCAGTAAACTGGTATAATGGTGGCCCAGAGACTGGTGACATGGGTGGGGGCAGCACAGGGGCCAGATGGGTGGGTAACCACTCACCAGGACTGAGAGGTCATCCAGCTTGAAGATATCATCAGGAACTCCAGAATTCTTCAGGTTGTTGGCTCGTGCTACAATGGCCTGGGGAATAAGGAAAGAATCTGTGAGTCCTGCTTTCTACCTCAAAGATCAGCACAGGCCAGAGAAGAGCATAGGTAGGCCAGGGCAGTGCTCTTCAGGAAGCTGAAGGCCAGGTCAGAGTGTTCTCCCACTCTGACCTTTGCTCACACAGTCTCTCTATCTGGTAGGCTTTTTCTATGCTCCTGGTGAGTTCCTATTCAAACTTTAAAAACCAATGCAAGTATGCCCAGAGCCCAACATGGGGTGCTAAGAGTTGTAATACTAGGGACAGAAGCCCAGGGCTTTTGCACATGTACCACTGAGCTACCTTTTAGTCTCTTAAGTAACTGGGGTGATAGGTTTGTGCTACTGGTGCAGCAGAATATCTTATATTTATTTATTTATTATTTATTTATTTTTTGAGACATGGCCTCCCTCTAGCCACAACTGGCCTGACACATACTATGTAGACCAGGCTGGCCTTGATCTCATAGAAATCTACCTGCCTCTGCTTCCCAAATGCTGGGATTAAAGGCATGTGCCATCACTATGCCAGGCCTTTTCTTTTCAAAATTTTTATTTTATGTGTATGTGTGTGATGGTTTGAATGAGGGTCTCTCCCATAGGCTCTAAGTATTTGAACATGTCCCCAATTGGTAGTGATGTTTTGAGGAGGTTTAGAATGTGTGGCCTTGCTGGAGGAAGCAGATCACTGGGGGTGGGTTTTGAGAGTTCACTGCCTCATCCCACTTTCAATTTGTCTCTCTGCTTCCTGTGCCTACTTGAAAATGTGAGTGCTTAGTTTTCTGCTCTGGCCACCTCTGGCTGCCATGCCTCCCCAGTGTGATGGACTCTTAACCCTCTGGAACCACAAGCCTAATAAATTATTTCTTCTATAAGTGCCTTGGTCGTGGAGTTTTTAAAAAATATTTTAAAATATTTTATTATTTGTATTATTTTATATGTATTAGTGTATTGTCTGCATGTACGTAAGTGCACCCATGTTGTACAGTGTCCACGGAGGTCAGAAGAGGGCACTGGATCCCTTGAAACTGGAGTTACAGATGGTTGTTAGCTGCCACGTGGGTGCTGGGAACTGAACCCGGATCCTCTGCAAGAGCAGCCGGTGTTCTTAATTGCTGAGCCCTCTTTCCAGTCCCTAGTCATGGTGTTTTATCACAGCAACAGAAAAATAACTAATACACGTGTGAGTGCCTGCATGTATGTATGTACACCGCATGCATTCTTGGTGCTTATGGAAGCCAGTAAAGGGCATCAGATTCTGTGGAACTAAGGTTATAGGCTGTTGTGAGCTGCATAATATGGATACTGGGAAACAAACCCAGGACTTCTGCAAGAGCAGAAAGTGTTCTTAACTGCTGAGCTATCTTTCCATCCCCCAGAATGTCTTTTATTATCAAATAATCTCTCTTGTTAATTCCAAAAGGGAAGAGAGGGGTAAGCTCTGGTTAGAGTTTCTAAAGTAGAAGAGGGCTGAATTAAAGAGGATTCAGGGCTGGAGAGATGGCTCAGTGGTTGAGAACACTGGTTGTTCTTGCAGAAGACCTGGGTTCAAATCCCAGCACCCACATGGCAGCTAACAACTGTCCGTAACTCCAGCCCCAGAGGATCTAACGGCCTCTTTTGACTGCATTGCACGAAGTGCACGCCTTTAGTCCCACCACTCGGGAGGCAGAGGCAGGCGATCTCTGTGAGTTCAAGGCCAGCCTTGTCTTGAACATATGAGTTCCAGGCCAGCTGGGGCTACAGGGAGACCCTGCCTCAAAAAGACAAAAAAAAAAAAAAAAAAAAAAAAAAAAAAAAAAGAGGATTTAGAGCTCTCTAGACCTAGCCGTTTCAGCTATACTCTGCTGCCTGGGAACAACTTCTAGAAAGTAACTGCTTGTGTGGCCAAGGATCTTCACCTGTGTGGTAGAGGTAGAGACATATGACAAACACACGTGGACTAGCTGGTACAATGTTCTACCTGCACTGGCTGTGATCACAACTTTCCCAAAGAGGTGGTAGAAGTGGGGCATGGTGGTGCATGCCTTTGTTCCCAGCATTCAAGAGGTAGAGACAGCCAGATCTCTGTGAGTTCGAGGCCAGCCTGGTCTACATAATCGAGTTTCAGGCTAGCCAGTGCTACATAATGAGACTTTGTCTCAAAAAAATGAAAACAAACAACACTAAAAAAAACCCCAACCAAACAAAACCACTAATACTCCCATTCACATGGGCTTCCCTATATGAGTAAATGCATCCTCTTGCATCAAGGGGGTCCCTACTCAGGACTCAGAGGAGGGAAGAGACTCTGGCCCAGTCTGATCTAGCCCTCCCTTAGGGCCCTAGACAGACCTGGCCAACACTTACCCGAAGCGAAGGTAAGCTGGACAGTTCCCCATGTAGTGTGGTCAGGTTGTTGTGGCTCACAGACAGGTGCTCCTGGGTAGGACAAGAGTCAGAGGCTCAGGGGTGTGTGTGTGTGTGTGTGTGTGTGTGTGTGTGTGTGTGTGTGTGTCGGGGGGAAGATGTTGATTCCCTGTCTGCCCCTGTAACTTTGTATCATCTAGGAGGGCCACCCCTATGGCCTACCCTCCTTCTTAGACCCTCACCTTCTTTGTATAGCCCCCAGATGGGGTGCCCTCTACCCTGTGCAAATGTTGCCTATACTATCCCTGTTCTTTTTCTGTGTGGTTCATCTTTTCTGCAAGCTGTGCCCACCTGGCCCAGCCCCAATCACAGGGGCCCTCCCTGGCACCCACTGCTGCTTACCAGCTTCTGTAGGGCAGCTAGTTCTTCAGGGAGGTAGCAGAGGCCTGTCCGGTTCAACTTCAGCCATCGCAGGCTGGTCATGGCCTTAACATTCTCAGGAAAGTAGCCACCCTGGTGGGGGCAGTCATGGTGTAAGGCTGGTCTGGGAGAGGTGTGTGCCCTCTCCACCAGCTTCTGTGGTCCCCACTGCCCGTGGGAGTCTAGAGGCCAGAGTCAAGTCCTCAGCTGTGAGAACCTTTGCAAGTCACTTCATCATTCTGTACCTCAATTTCTTTGCTCATAAAATGAGACTAATTAGCTGGGCGTGGTGGTGCACGCCTTTAATCCCAGCACTTGGGAGACAGAGGCAAGAGAATCTCTGTGAGTTTGAGGCTAGCCTGGTCTACATAGCAAGTTCCAGGCCAGCTGGGGCTACAGGGAGACCCTGTCTCAAAAAGACCAAAAATAAATAAATAAATAAATAATAAAATAAAATAAAATGAGACCAATTAAAGCCCCTGAAGAATCCAGGGCACAGGAAAAACCTTGTGTGTTTCAAGGGACACCTCACATTCCACTGTGGCTAGTGCTACTCACAGACTGGGTTGCCTGAGATGAGGTTCTCCCTTGACCCTCTACAGACTGCACTGAATCCCACCCTGCCATGGGCATACACAGCTGGTAAGTCTAGACTCCCCACTACACTGAATGCCCAGCTACCCCTAAGTGACACTACCTCATTCATTCCTCATATTCAATATCCACTTCAGCACCACTGGCCATTCTGTCAACTGAGGCAGTATGAACCTTCAGTGCCTTTGGCTGCTGTCTCTTCCTATGGCCACATTCCCCAACTAAGACTTTCCAGGTCCAAAGAAGATACATGGAGACCCCAGTGAGAATGGGGGGAATGTGGACAGGGAAAAGCACTGACACCTGTGTGTGGGTCGAATGTGTGTCCATGTGAGGATGAACTCAAGAGGACACCCCCTCTTCCTAGCCCCCCAAGCTGACATCTGAAAGGACCCCAGGTAGTGGAGGGCCTAGATCTCTGAGCTGCTTCTCCAGTCCAGCTGCCTCTCCCCTCCCAGGTAGTCTCATTCTTGATTGTCTAGAACCCAGCCTGGGCCGGGTTCCGGTTGTTTGTCCCCTGGCAGTCCCTGCAATTGGGCAGCAGACGCCATCCCGGGCCTCGCACACCTGCGGGACACGCTCCACACTGACATATTTCTTTCCCTTCCACGCCTCCCAACGGGCCACTTTTAAGTCCCATCGCGGGAAGAGAAAACCCAGGCAGCGGGAGGGGAAGTTACTTGAAGTCCACAGGGTGGGGCGGCGGCTCCAGACCCGCTCCCGGACGGCCAGGCTGGGCGGCGGGCGAGTCAGGGCCTGGCTCCGGGGCGCGGTCCCCAGGTCCGGCTCCGGCGCCCTGGAGACCCTTTTACCGCCCCGCGCGTGACCCCGAGCCCCGGGGCCCAGCGCGAGAGGGCGCAGGCCCGGGATGGCTCGGCCCGGGAGGCCCGCCGGGACCACACCCGGGCCCGCAGCGCGGAGCCGCGCCGCCCGCACCAGAGCGTCCTGTGGCTCGGCAGCCGCACGGGCTCACCTTGAAGTCGTTCCCGCTGAGGTCTACGCCGCGCACGAACGGCAGGACCCCGGTGGCCTCCATGGCGGCGCCGCTCTGCTGCCGGCACTGCGGACTCGGGATGGCCCGGAGCCGCGGGCTGGGCCACCGCAGGCCCCGCCCCTTTAACCCGAGCGCGCCGGCCTCGCCCTGCTGAAGAGGATCCGAGGTGCGCTAGGCCTCGCAGGGCTGGAGAGGCCCCCAGGGGTCGGGGCGCGCAGGGGGCTCCTGTTGGAGGTTCCAGTACCTCCAGGTTTGAGTCACAGTGCCCGGGGTGCAGGTTGTCGCAGGCCCCGCAGGTCCCGGCATTGTTGCTAGAGATGCTGGAGCCGCGGAAGTTGATCGTGATCCCAGAGAGCTTCTGGTCCCAGCCTCAGGAGCACAGGCAGTCTCTGTGCATGGCAGACCTGGTAGTTAAGGCATCTGGGTCCTTGGGGCCTGGGCCGCCCGATCTGGACTCAACATGCTTCCAAAGGTTGTTAGGAGCAAATGTGCAGATGTACTTCAAAATAATAACAGGGCTTGGTGGTTCCTGCCTTTAATTCCAGCACTAGGGAGGTAGAGGCACGCAGATCTCTGTAAGATCGAAATCAGCCTGGTCTACATAGCGAGTTCCAGCCAGCTGGGGCTACAGGGAGACCCTGTCTTATTAAAAACAAAATAATAATAAAAACAATTTATTATTCCTGCTTAGTGTCAACACTCCCTCCTCTTTTCACTGGCTTATTTTGTGCTCTTATTTCGAGTCCCTCTTGGACTGCCTTGTACCTTGATCAGCACAGGGTAGGTTTTCAATAAGCAAGCCACAATTGTTCTATGCATAGCCATCCTTCCTAAGGGCAGAATCTGGCCTCCCAGTATTAAGGGAAACAGGCCTAGTGGAGGTCTCACGGAACAGTAGGCAGAACTCTTTTGCCATTGTGTGCCCAGCAGGCCAATAGGAAATAGAGCATTAGGCGCTCACACAGGGGCAAACTCAAGGGGCAGAATGTGGGACTTTGGGCTAAGTGGCATCTGTCAGGCCCACACCGAGGTGCCCATACAAGTGCAAACGAAGGCCAGGTGTGAAGACTCAGCATGTAATCCCAGTACACCGAGGCTGAGGCAGGATTGTCTAGATTTGAAGCTAGTCTGGGCTACAGCGTGGGGACCCTTTTTCAAAAAAACAAAAAGTGGCGGCTGGAGAGATGGTTCAGCAGTTAAGAGCACTGGCTGCTCTTGCGGAGGACCCAGGTTCGATTCCCAGTACCCACATGGTGGCTAACAACCGTCGTCCAGTTCCAGGGTATCCAATGCCCTCTTCTGACCTCCGTGGGCATTGTACCCACTTGGTACACTTACACGTATTCAGGCAAGACACTCATACACATAAACGTTTTTAAAAAAGTAAATAAATAAAGTAGAACAAGCGAACAATAGTCACCAGACCATAAAAACTGTAACTCGCCCCCTACCCCCATTTTGGACAAGGAATATAGCCCTGTGCCTTTAAATCCGGAGTGAATTGGTTGCACGACAGCTGAGGGGCGTGGCTTGCTGATCATTGGCTAAATTGCGAAGCTTTTGGCACGTGTACACAGGAGTCGAGCGTTCGGATTGGAGCAGGAACTGCTCATCCGTCGTGCCTTTCGGGTCACGGGCTGCCCGGGGGCCTCTGCGTTCCTGTCCCGGGTCTTCCAGGTTCTATTCCCAGACGTGTCCCCGTGCTCTGGCGTGCCACCCGCTGCGTCCTCGGGTCGGTGCTCTTACGCCAGGACGCAGGTAAGGCTGGAGCACCGGGGTGGCCCGGGGTCTCCCAGCCCTGGGCGTGGCACGCGTCCCTTCGCAGGTGGGGGCGTGGCCTGTTGTCACACCGCGGAAGGAGGGAGGATTTGGGGCCTAAAGGCCCCAGTTCGAATCCCAGCGTCCTGGGATGTCTTGGGTATTGCCCTTGGTTTCCAGTGCCTCATTGATCTCCCCCTGTGAATGGAGCCTAACAAGGCCGGCTGTAGATTGTTATGAGTTTCTGCTCAGCCTTGATCCAGGGCAGTTAGCTTTAGGCAGAGGGGAAGGACAGGTGGCATCCAGTTCCTAGCTGTGCACAGTCGGGTTATTTTTAACCACCGGTTCCCTTCCCGAGTTGGAAGACCTTCCCAGCCCAGCTCTGAGTCTCACTTTTGGCACGTGCTGGAATTTAAGACCCTTTGTACAGTTTGCAAAGTGGGCTCCTGGTCTAGGGGTAGTGGCAATTTGGACTCCCATGGCAGGCAGGGAAGAAGCAGCAGAAACCTATTCTGGGGTACTGTTGAGTTCCCTGACTGGCCTGTGACCTCACCAGGCCCCAGAGCAGGGTCTTATTTTTAGTTTGGGGAAGAGTGGGCAGGTGTCCCAGCTGAGTCACACAGTACTTCAGGCTCCAACCACACTAGGCATTTTGTCACTTGGCAGCTGGGCCAACAAGGCACCCATAGCCCAGCAGGGTAGGCCAAAGCCCTTGGTGTCCTAGCAGATTGTAACCACCTGGCTTGGGAGATTCTGCCTCCTTTTCCCAGGTTACTGACCCAATCCAGCCACACACTTCTCAGCCTGTGCTGGTTTATGGATGAGCAAATGCCCTGGCTGCAAACCCTCACCTCAGGTGCTTGATTTCCCCGCACTTGATGACCCTTCCTCCAAGCGCAACTTGTCCAAGAGGCCTGGAAGACTTCTCCAGAGGCAGGAAGTAGCCCTCTGGTGTCAGCACATATGGAGTTACTTTGCTCACCACCAGACTATGAGGCCTTCATCCTTGGCTTGCTGTACCCTCACCCAGCCTGTCCATTGACCCGGTTTCCCTCCCTCTGGAAGTTTTCCTGTCAAGATTTTGGGGGCAGATAACCGGCTCCAGAACCTTACTAGATCCCTACCAAACATCTGATAGGGCCCCCAGGTAGGCTACCTGGGACTCCAAATTGTAGGTCCTTCTGGTGGCTTTGGGTTCCTCCTGACAGGTTGTCTGGGGGCAGTTGGCTGTTCTGGGTAGGCCCTGGTTAGGAATCTCATGACCTGGCCAGGAAGCATGGGGAAGATGCTCAGACACTGAGGGTGGAAAAGTCTGGAGGCTGGGTTGTGAGTTGGAGCCCTCAGCACTTTGTGGCTTGGCAGCATGTCTTTTAGAGTAAGGTAGTGATGGTGAAGCTATTTCTCAAGTCTTAATTGATGTCAGAGACCTTAGATGGTAGTAAGGTCAGGAGACCCTCGAGCCTTCCCATGTGAGTCCCTTTCCAGGGTAGGAAGCTTTCACGGAGGGGCCTGGCATTCCCTTTACTCCTTCTATGAGACCCTTTGAGTCCCTTCTCATGAGTCCTCGGGAAACCCCCCTCATGGGCTTGACCCACTATTACCAAGCACCTGCCCATGTTGGGCCATGCCAGCCTGACTGCCCCCTCCCTCAGTGGCACACTCCTGCTTCCCTTTCAGGTAGACCATGGCAGAGTTCTCACAGAAGCGGGGAAAGCAGCGAGGCGGCGAGGGCCTGGGCAGCGCAGTGGACTTCCTATTGGCTAATGCTCGCCTGGTGCTGGGTGTGGGCGGGGCTGCAGTGCTGGGCATTGCCACCCTGGCTGTAAAGCGGGTAAGGCCAGGTGGGCAAGGCCTGTCTCAAGCCTCCACAGGAGGAGGCCAAGACTGGGGCCTTGGAGGGTGGTGGGAATTCCCCAGGCTGGACTGGAACCCAGTGACCCTGCTTCTCCACCCCAGATTCCTGACATGCTTTGCCCCCAACCTTCAGCTTTGGATGCTCTGATCTGTGTCACTTTGCCTGTAGCTCATTGACAGGGCTACTAGCCCTCGGGATGAGGATGACACCAAAGGTGACAGCTGGAAGGAACTGAGCCTACTGAAAGCCACTCCTCTCCAACAGCCCCAGCCCCCTCCTGTTGCCCTCAGCGAGCCGGTATCTCCCATGGCCCCCAAACCGTCTACCCCAGGTGAGCAGCACCTCTTCCCCTCTGATGTGGGTGAGTTTCTGTTTTGTTGTCATGTTCAGGAGCTCCAGTCTTGACAAGTTTCTTCTCTTTGGGCTGTGACTTCTCAGATGCATGTGGTTGTTGTGGGTTTTTGTTTTGTTTTTGAGACAGGGTCTCCCTGTAGCCTCAGCTGGCCTGGAACTTGCTATGTAGACCAGAGTGGCCTTAATTTCATAGAGATCTGCCTGCCTCTGCCTCCTCAGTGCTGGGACAAAAGGCATGTGCCACCAAGTGAGGATTTTTGTGTTTTTCTGTTGTGTTAAGGATTAAACACAGGGTCTCACATATGCTAAGCAACACTCTGCTGCTGAGCTATACCCCTCACCCTGGGATTGTGGTTTTTGTCCGCTTGCTTCCTTCTAGAACATGGTTGCACCATATGTTGGGGAAACTGAGGCCTGGAGAGGGCATCTGTTTTCCCCATTCTCTGTAAGGCTGTTTTTGTCTAAGTAGGAGCTAAGTGTCAGGACTCTGGGCCAGTGAGACTTTCTTTGTCATCGAGCCCTCACTGTCTTGAGGACCTGAACTCAGGGCTTTCTCGGTGGCTATTAGAGGAGAGGATGAGACCCAGCACCATCCTACAGCTAGTAACCAGGTAGAGTTGTCTTAACTGGTTGTGGGGGCCTTCTGATATGTTCCTCTGGCCCCTTCCATCTACAGAGGGGCCCACACACACTCATTCTCAGATGCCACCTCAGCTCAGCTCCCCAGCACCATTGTGCCTGACGTTCCAGGAGAAGCTTCTGGCATTTGAGAACAACCACGTGGTTATCCCAGAAGCACACGTGGCTTTAGTGAAACAGCTGGCTGGTGACATTGCCTTGGAGCTTCAGGCCTACTTGAAGAGCAAGTTCCCAGAACTGTCCTTTGGTGCACTTGTGCCAGGTGGGCCTCTCTACGATGGGCTACAGGCAGGGGCTGTTGAGCACGTGCACCTGCTGGCACCACTGGTATTGGAGCCAGGTCTGTGGAGCCTGGTGCCTGGTGTGGACACTGTGGCCAGGGACCCTCGTTGCTGGGCCGTGCGAAGGACCCAGCTTGAGTTCCACCCCCGTGGGCGCAGCCCCTGGGACCGCTTTCTGGTGGGAGGTTACCTCTCCTCTCGGGTATTGCTGGAGCTGCTCCACAAGGCCCTGGCAGCTTCAGTCAACTGGCCAGCCATTGGCAGCCTGCTTGGCTGTCTGATTCGTCCTAATGTGGCTTCGGAAGAGCTGCTGCTGGAGGTACAGCATGAGTGTCTGGAGTTCACTGTGGCTGTGCTCGTAGCAGTCCCTGGGGCCAACTCTGATGACCGCCTCCTGCTGGCTTGGCCCTTGGAGGGGCTGGCTGGGAATCTCTGGCTGCAGGACCTGTATCCAGTAGAGGCTGCCCTGTTGCGGGCCCTGGATGAGCAGGATTTGGGTACTCGGCGGAGGCTGCTGCTGCTACTGTGTGGTGTGTGCCGTGGCCACCCATCCCTGGCACGGCTAGGCCGGAGCCACCTGACTCAGGTGGTTCTCCGTCTGTGCGAAGAGGAAATAAACTGGACTGAGGAGGCCTTGGGTGAACGTTTTCTGCAGGCCCTGGAGTTGCTGGTGGGCAGCTTGGAGCAGGCTAACCTGCCCTGCCACTTCAATCCTAGTGTGAACCTCTTGGGCAGCTTGCAGGAGGAGGAGATTGATAACATTGGCTATGTGCTGTACAGTGGTCTACAGTCTCCTGAAGGCCTGCTTTAGGTGGATGAAGACAGTAATGGACTTTGTTTTCTGATGGTGAGCTGTAACTACCTCCCTCCCAGGAAACTGCAAAGCAGTGTTTACTTGCTTTCAGCCAGAGCAAAGGAGGGAGATACAGTACCTAAACCTACAGGTGATGTGTGCCTGGGTCAAGGTTACCAGGACTCTTGAGCTCAGAGTCCAGGTTGCTGTCACTTGAATGTGGCTGGCCTGTCCTGGCTGACAGCTTGTAGTGCCAGCCAGATACCCCTCAGCCTGGGGTTGACTCAGGACCTTGGACTCAGTCTATCATCACCAGCAATGAATTCCCCATGAATAAGTCATGGCTTTTGTTCTCTTGGGTGAAGGCCTGGCAAAGTCCTGTTCCAACTTTTTTGTCAAGGAAGAAATCTTCTTGGCACCTAGAACTCATTGAGTCTCATGTATTTTGTACCCCTGGCTGGAGTTACCTGATACCCTGGAGGATAGCTCCATAGCTGTCAAAGGATGGTATTTTCCTGAGTTCAATGCTTTTGTTTTTCTGGTCAAATCCTTGGTCTCTGGAACAGGAGTTCTGTTTCACTTGCTGTTGGCCTTATACCCAAGGAAGGCCCTGTACCCTCCTGCTTAGTGAGTTTTCTCTGTAGGTCACTCATGCCTCTGGGAGAGCCCCTTCCCCACTGGGAGGTGAGCTCTGTGCTGCCTACGCAGGGCTGTCCCACAGCAGCTGCTCTGGAACCCTACTGGAGGACAAAGAAACATGTCCTTCCCAGAGGCTAGTGTACAGTCCTGGACTCTGCAGTGTGCCAAAATATTCATGATGGCTGTCTGTGTCCTGACCTTGCTACCTAGTCAAAGTAGCATGACCAGAGGAGGGAGATTGTCTCCCCTGCCAGGGGCCTCTCCTATTTTTAGTGTCCCCCATTGAAATAAAGCTATGCCTTGAAGAGTGTGAACAAGAATTTGAAAAAAAAAGCTGGATGTGGTTGCATATACCATCCCAGCACTCAGGAGACAGAGGCAGGTGTGGTCTACCACCAGAACCTGGCCAATCAAGAATCTCACCCTTAAAGAAGACAGACATGTCCCCTCCCAGAAGTCAATAGTTCCTTAGGTGTTTTAAAAAATATTTTGTCACTGGGCGTGGTGGCGCATGCCTTTAGTCCCAGCACTTGGGAGGCAGAGGCAGGCGGATCTCTGTGAGTTCAAGGCCAGCGTGGTCTACATAGTGAGTTCCAGGACAGCTGGGGCTACAGGGAGACCCTGCTTCAAAAAGAAAAAAAAAAAAAAAAAAAAGGGTCTCACTATATAGCCCTGGCCATTCTGGAACTCACTATGTAGATCAAGCTGGTTTGAACTCACAGAGATCCACCCGCCTATGCCTTTCAAGTGCTGGGACTAAAGGTGTGCATCATCACACCTGGCAACACAGTTTTTTATGTGAAATGCCCAAACAGGTAAACCAAGACACTAAAGCAGGTGAGTGGTAGTCAGGAACAAACCCCAAATGTAGGTTGCAAGCTGTCCTCATCCACTAGATGGCCCAGAACTAATGGTATAAGTATGCACTGGCGAAATAAAACCCTGCTGCCCAGCCAGGCTTAGAGCTATTGTTCTAACTGAAGGCTACCTGGTAACAATTCTATTTTCTTCACTACCTAGCAACAGGACTGGGTATTTCTACTTCCCAACTCTAAGACAGTGAGACCCTATCTCAATCCCACCCCCCGCTCCAAAAGAATCATAATCATAGTTTGAGGCTAACTCAGCTACTTTTTATGAAAAGGAGTCCTAGGGGGCCGGAGAGATGGCTCAGCAGTTAAGAACATTGGCTGTTCTTGCAGAAGGCCCAGGTTCAAATCCCAGTACCCACATGGCAGCTAACAGCTGTCCATAACTCCAGTTCCAGGGGATCTGTCAGCCTCTTCTGTCCTCCTTGGGCACTGCACGACATGAGTGCACTTACCTGCATGTAGGCAATACACATAAAATAAAAATAATAAAATATTAAAAAAAAAAAGGAGTCCTGGGCCTGGAGAGATGGCTCAGTGGTTAAGAACACTAGTTCTTGCAGAAGACCCAGGCTCGAATCCCAGCACCCACATGGCAGCTAACTTAAACTGTCCATAACTCCAGTTACAGGGGATCTGATGGCTGCTGCTTCTGTCCTCTGTGGGCATTGCATGACATGGGTGCACTTACCTACATGCAGGCAATACACTCATAAAATAAAAATAAAATATTAAAAAAGTCCTATGAATTTAACAGTACCAGCTTATTGCTAGGGAAACTGAGGCTGAAAGGCTCAGTCAACTATTTGAAGCTAGACAAATCAGCTTGGAGTAATTCCAAAGCTCCTGTTTAGTGTTATGTCAGGCTAGTTAATGAGGTTATTGCTGTGTACCACAGTGGCAAGGATCACTCAGGGACCCTCATATTTGCTTGCTATCTTAGGGTTTTGTGAAGCCAAACAAGGAATATAACCTCTGCAAAGTATGAAGACAGGAAGGCTGGTGCTCCAAATCTTGCATTGGCACCTCAGATTCAAGGGCCACACAGGCAGAAGTTGGGTTTAGTGCTGGGTATACTAGGGAAGGGCTGGGCTGGGAGGGGTGAGATGGGGTAGGAGTCCCAAAACAAACGCCTCTCTGGCTCTGGCGGGCATCATCAGACACTAACTGTACCACCACCAGAAAAAAAAAAGGGATGAATTCTTTATTAAGGCACACAAGCTATAGCTTGTCCTTCTAGGTAATGCAGGAATGAAGCCCTTCTCAAATGATTGTGCAGAGGAACTCCATCCCGGCTGACCAGAGCCTGTGTTGAGAGCTGGCTGCTTCTCACCTGGCAGCACAGCAGGCCAGTCAGGGCCTGCATGGACACAAGGTCACAGCCTGTCACCAGCTTCACTCAATGCTGTGACTGTCCTCAGGATCCCTGGGGCAGATTTCTTGACTTTTAGCAGTGTAGCAGCCAGTCTTTCCTGAGCCCTGGACTAAGGACATCTACCCAGCAGTACCAGCCTTCTCCAGAGGTATCTGATCTTTGTACTCTTCGACAAAGGCCATCTTCAAAACCCAGTACTCCTCCCTAGATCTCCAGGACAGTGAACTGGTCCCAGTTAGCTCATTTCCTGGTTGGAGCAAGCTGCATCCTCAACCTTGCCTGTCCTCATCTGTTCTGAGGACAAAAGGGCCGGGTGTGTCCAGGCTGGTGGCAAAGGCTACATTTCCGGGGCTTCTTTGTCGTAGATCCTGTATCTGAGGAACTGGCTTTTGTTCTTTTGCTTGTAGCCTCTGGTCCCTGGGTTTTTCCTCTGGCTCCTGGCCATGGTGGGGCTGTCAGAGTCCCTGAGAGAAATCAGGGAAAAGATGAATTTATGACTGACACCCTCAAGTAGCAAAAAATAGAGGTAACAAGCCATATATGGTGGCACATACTTGTAATCCCAGTACTTGGGGATGGAAGTAGAAGGATCAGGAGTTCACTACAGGAGACCATGTCTCAAAACCAAAGCCTACAGTATTACGTGGAAGTATCCCAACTTTTACAGGTTAGGTGCACCCATGGGCCAGAATTCCTGTTTTATGAAGGACTGCTCCATGGTATCAGGGTATGACTTACCTATCACCTGTTACCTGTTTTAAAGCTACTGTCCTGGTAAGGAGGCAGTGGCATAACTTTGCATAGGCCTTTCTACACAGCAGAAATTCAGGCATACAACAACAGATGGGGAAGTCTATGACCACCAGCCAGTTTCCCACTCGACCTTCCCTGCAAGGAACCTTCCAGTCCCTCAATAAGCCTTAGTGCCTGTTACCCTGTCACCGAGGTTAACTTCATCTGTCTTAGATGGCACATCACTTCTGGTGGCCCTGACAAGCTTCAAGTATATACAAGGCCAAGTGTTCTGTAGTCATGTCAAACATACGGGGTAGCAAAAGTGTACTATCGCTGGCCTAGCCTATGCTTTTTAATCAAGGCTTCTGGATCTTTTAAAAAAAATATTTTTTTGAACTTTTTGAGACAGGTCTCCCTGTAGCCCCAGCTGGCCTCCATCTCCCAGAGATCTGTCTGCCTCTGCTTCTGGAGTGCTGGGATTAAAGATGTGTGCCACCACATCCAGCTTGGGTCTTCTATACACAGAACTAGTGACACAGGTTTAAAAATGATAGTCTGAGCTGGGTGTGGTGGTGCACGCCTTTAATCCCAGCACTTGGGAGGCAGAGGCAGGTGGATCTCTGTGAGTTTGAGGCCAGCCTGGTCTACATAGGGAGTTCCAGGTCAGCTGGGGCTACAGGGAGACCCTGTCTCAAAAAGACCAAAAAAAAAAAAAAGGTAGTCTGAAGGCACGTCATAGCAGTACACACCTGTAATTTCAGTATTGGGGAGGCTAAGTCAGGATGTTTGTAAGGCTGAGACCAACCTGGGCCACATAGTAAGACCCCATCTCAAAACCTGCCTCCCTATGTCCTCCTCTGACAAAAGAATTAAAGTTTGAGACTAACTCAGCTCCTTCATAAAAAGGAGTCCTATGTATCTAACAGGTACCATTTTATTGCTGAGGAAACAGGCTGAAAGGCTTAGTCAATTATTTGAAGCTATACAACTTGGCTTGGGAGCAACTATATAATTCCAAAGCTCCTGCTTAGCCTTATGTCAGATAAGCTCATTAATTAGGCTACTGCTGTACATCACAGTGGCAAGGACTATTAAGGGTGCCCTCATATACCAGCCATATGACCCAATGTTTGGGTGCCAGTACTCACAACACCTATTCCTGGGACACTGGCCCAAGCTGTGTAACCTTGGGCAGATTTCTTCACCAGTGTCTCATGAGATGAAATGAGGCTGATATCAGTGACCCTGTAAGGGTGCCAGCTGCAGGGTAGGGAAGATGCTTATTAGGAGTATGTTGGGCCCTGTAACTATGTGACACTGAATAAAGCCCTCACTGGCCTGTGCCTTGCATTCCTCATTTGGAAATCTGGGATCTTATGAAGATGCCTGCTGTAGAAAGTGTGTTTTCCAGTGCTGGACACAGTAGCTACCCTTTACTTTGGAATGAAGACTCTATGGCTCATTACTTTGCTGGAAGTGGTCAATGAGGAAAGACAGGCAAAGCAGCCTCCTTATGACTCCTCCTCCCCCAACTACCTGCCTTCCCTCCTTCTCTGGTCTGAGGTAGTAACCACTGTGAAAACTCATGCAGGGCCCTGTGTGTCCTACAGCCTCACCTGGGGCCACATTCTCATCTGCCCATTGGAAGAAGCCACACTGCTGCTCTCGTGGCTTGGCACAGGTGTGGAACTGGCGCCCTTTGTTGGGCCCATCCTTCTGCACAGTCCGTGTCACAGCAGGCTGGCTGCACAGACAGGATGTGCCACTATCACCACCATCGCTAGGACTGCCAAACCTACCCACGTGGCCACCTAAGCCTGGTGGGTGTCCCAGTGCACTGCCTGGAGGTCTTGATGTCGAAGATGGGGGTCCTCCTCCAGTGGGATGACTAGCATCAGCCCACAAGAAGAAGTTGCAACTACCACCACTGCACTTATAGAAGTGGCGGCCCTGGTTGGGCCCCTCCTTTCGGACAGTCAGCAGCACAGCCTCCTGGCCACAGTTGCAGGTCACGGAGTTGCTTTCACCAGCTGTAGTGGGTGGTAGGAAGGTTTGGACTACAGCTTTGGAAGGTCCAGTCTGTCTGCTGCCTGGAGGCTGTGAGTGGCTATGCTGGCTGCTGTCCATCCTGTTGAGGTTCTGGCTGGCCTGCAGGTGGCCAGAGAGCTGGCTAGCTCTTGGAGGGCCAAGTGAAAATCTCAGGCCAAAGATTTCCTTCAAGGTTTCATCACATCCACCTATGCAGCCAACAAATTCCAGTGGCATGGTTGGGGGAAGGCTACCACGCTTGAACTTCAACTTCAACCTGGTGAGGCCAAGATGAGAACAGACAGCAATCAGCAGGTGGCAGTGTCTCTGTCCTGGCCAGCTCCAGCCTCCCCTCATCCCAGGAGCCCATTTCAGAGTGCAGAGCAGGAAGCAGTGCAGATGAATTCTCAGACTCTAACCGCTCTTCTTGCAGAAGACCTGGGTTTGAATCCTAGCACCCACATGCCAGCTAACAACCGTCCGGTAACTCCAGTTCCAGGGGATTCGATGCCCTCTTCTGTCCTCCGAGGGCACTGCACGACATGGGTGGACTTTCATACATGCATGAAACACACACATATGCATAAAATAAAAATAAAGCAAAAAAAACCCCACTTTTTAAAAGTTTTCCAGAAATAATAGTACATGCCATGGCTCAGCTGATTGAGGTAGCAGAGAGGGAAATCTAGTCTTTCCCAAATGAAAAGCAAAAAGCAGTGTTATTCACTTCAGTAGTGTTATATTTCTGCTTCAGAAAGGTTTTGTCCGACAGACCATTTTAAGAATTTCTGTTAGTAAGGATGCATGTGCTTACTTATTATAAGTGAGTTAGTACTTTAAAAGATATCCCTACTGCTGAGGACAGAATTCAGTGGTAAAGTGCTTGCCTAGCATGTTCAAGGCCCTGGGTATACCAGCACTGCAAACAGAAACTAAAGATGTACAAAAAAAGCCATAAGGAGACCTGCTACTGGAAGCTATTTAACAACAAAAACAAAGCAAAAAGAACAAAATCCACTTTAATTTTGAGTTTGGTACCTACCAGAAAACATAATCCAAAACTAGTGAGATGACTCAGTGGGTAAAGACATTTTCCATCAAGCCTGCTGGCCTAAGTTTACCCAGGACCTACATGGTAGGAGAGAACCATCTCCCAAAAGCTTCCCTTTGACCTCCACATGTATGCTGCGCATGTACACATATTGATAAATACATGTAATAATAACAAATAAGGGGGTTAGAGAGATGGCTCAGCGGTTAAGAGCACTGGCTGCTCTTGGAGAAGACCCAGGTTTGAGTCCCAGTACCCATATGGTGGCTAACAACCGACCTTAACTCCAATTCCAGGGGATACAATGTCGTCTTCTGACCTCCTCAGGCATTGCAAGACACAGGTGCACTTACATACATGCAGGCAATATACTCATATTTTATATAACAATAAAGACCAAAACACATAAGCCCAAGTTCTTCAGGCTGATTTATCAGGAGGTGATAGAACACTGAAGGAGTTGTGAGAACCACTGACAGGTGTGAGAACCACTGAACAGTGGTATGTCTCTGGGCTTTTTGGAGCAGGAAGGACACTGTAGTCCCATGCTGCAGCAATGTGTCTGGTGAACATAGGGAACAAGCACCTCTGTAGCACCAGGAGCTGCAGGATTGCTCCCACCCTGTCTGGAGCACCACAGAAAAACTATATCACTAGACTGGGCCAGCTGCCTGCACTGCCATTGAGTGAAACCACAAACCTGAGAATGGCATTCCCCAGACAACCCTGCCTGCAAGAGAAGACTGCAGGGCATGCCCTGATAGACACCCAGCTTACCTATACACAGGGGAAGGCTGACATGTCGAACACACACTGCTGTCCCTGCTGGCCTCCAGCACTGAGTCGGGAAACCACACAGCTGATCGACATTCTGGGAAACCTGTGCAGCTAAGGTAGAACCTGGGGAGGAAGGTGGTCAGTTAAATTGCAGGACTGCAGAAGGCACACTGGGGCTCTCATCTTCTTGGGAGAATCAACGGGGCCTTCATTTTCCTGCAGGACACTTAACTGGAAACAGTCACTGACACTGAAAGACCTACAAATCTCTCTTGGATTTGCTCCTCACATCTCTAAAAAAATGCAGCTACTGCTGGCTCTACTTTCTGCTTAAACCACCACTACCAGTGACTGAGTATAATGGTGGCTCATTCATATAATCCCAGTACTTGGAAGCAGAGGCAGGAGGAGCCACAGTTGAGGCCAGTCTGGACTACATGGTGAGTTTCAGGTTACCCTGGGCTACAGAGTGGGTGAGAGTTTGCTTCAAAAACAAAATAAATGCCAGGTGTGGTGGTGGACACCATTAATCCCAGCACTTGGGAGGCAGAGGTAGATGAACCTCTGTGAGTTCCAGGCTAGCCTGGTCTGCACAACAAATTCCAGGCCAGCCTGGGCTCCATAGTGAGACCCTATCTCAAAAAACACAAAACAACACCCCCCCACCCGACTCCCACCCTGCAAACAAAACAAAACAAAACCCCAAAGAACACTTGCTGCTCTTGCAGAGGACCTGGGTTCAGTTCCCAGCACACTCATCAAGTGGCTCATAACCATCTCTAACTCCAGTTCTGGAGGATCTGATGCCCTCTTCTGGTCTCCATGGTCATTTGCATGCATATGGTACACATACAAACAGTCACATACACATACACAAAAATAAAATAAATCTTACAAAACTTCACCTTAATGCAGCTTTGTGAAGTAAACACGGACTTTTCTTTTCTTTCTTTTTTTTTTTTTTTTTGGTCTTCTTGAAACAGGTTTTCCCTGTAGCCCCAGCTGGCCTGGAACTCACTATGTAGACCAGGCTGGCTTTGAACTCACAGAGATCCGCCTGCTTCTGCCTCCCAAGTGCTGGGATTAAAGGCGTGTGCTACCATGCCCAGCTATGAGTTTTTTTTTTTTTTAATGGAACAGGAGTTCACTTGGCACTTGGCCCCCCAAGAGTTACCCTGTGCCCATCTAGTTCTACCACCAGGTCCAATGTCTGTCAATAGCAGGCTTGCATCTAAATAATGACATGGACGTGAAAGAGGCTTTTCAGAGCTGGCCAACCAACCCAGCATGTGCTGGGTGAACAGAGGTGGAAGGGGAAACCAGGTACTGACCCACCACTCTTCTTGGTCTTGAGGACCATATCCTTATTGCACTGTGGGCATTTCCGAATGGGCTCTGGCATGGCTGGGTAGAACTCTTCTTGCCGGATCAGTTTTGCCCCTTCCCCAAAATACTGAGACAAGGCCTCGTCCAATCTGAAGAAAAGGCAGATGTACATATTAGTTGTCACTGAAAGGTATTTATAGCACTCAAGTGTCCATAATGTACATGAACCTGGAACCAACTGGTCAGGGAGCCACAGGCTGAGTCAGAAAGCAAGGGCAGAGAGGAAATGGGCTCTTCACTCCAATGCAGTCTGGCTCCAGGCTCTTGGCAAAATACTAGCTTCAGGCAGCCACAAAGAAACTGTAGATACTCAGTAATATCTGAATTCCAGCCACAGGGTGGTCTGAAGGACTAAAAACCCCAAACTGGGGCTGGTATGATGGCTCAATGGGCAAAAGTGCTCACCATGTAAGCCTGACAACCTGAGTTCAATCCCTAGGACCCATAGTGGAAGTAGAGAAACATCTCCCTAAAACTGTCCTGACCTCCACACAGATATATGCATCCGCCCTTGCAGGCATGCACGCATGCACGCGCACCCAAACTGCTATTTCCCATCATCCACATAATAGTGTCTTCCCTACATACCAAGGAGCTGTCCAGTGGACACCAACTGGTACGCTAATTTACTTCTGACACTACCTGGAGTTAGACAGATCTTTATTCCCAAAGACTGTCCCCTTTAAGACATGAGCTGCAAATCCAAGCCTGTGACCTGAGCTTCTGACTCTAAAGTGGGCTTCCCATTGTTCCAGTTCAGTTCTGATTTGCTGGGTGGCTTACAGAACTCAGAACAGTCAGACAGGAGAGAGGCAGAGAGCAAGGCATGTGGGAAAGGGCTCAGTCCTGTTTTCTATGGTGTGCCATCTTCTAGGCACTATGTTCAGCTGTTTGAATGCTTAGAACACTGTTTTAATGTCAGCTTCAATACTCAGACACAATTGGTAATCATGGTTACTTCTGTGGAGTAGCTGAATGTACCAACATTCTAGCCATAAGGTATTTCCCCCTGGGACGCAACCCCAGCCTGAGTTCATCAGGTGCTCTCCCATCAGGTGACTGGCAAAGACATTTTAGGAGTCCAAGGATTTTAGGAGCTGTGTGCCAGGAAATGAAGACCAAGCATGTATGTATATGTGATGATAAATTGTGACACCATAGGTAGAAAAATGTTATTTTTTAAAAAATAATAATTATTATTATTTTGGTCTTTTTGAGACAGGGTCCCCCTGTAGCCCATGCTGGCCTAGAACTCATTGTGTAGATTAGGCTGGCCTTGAGCTCACAGAGATCCATCTGTCTCGGCCTCCCAAGCGCTGGGATTAAAGGCATGCGCCACCACGCCCAGCTTAATTATTTTTAATTATTATTTTTATTTTATTTAGTGTATTGGCTACATGTATGTAAGTGCACCCATGTTGTGCAATGCCTGTGAAGGTCAAAAAAAGGCATAAGATCCCCTGGAACTGGAGTTATGGATAGTTATTAGCTACCACGTAGGTGCTGGGAACTGAACCCAGGTCTTTTCCAAGAGCAGCCAGTGCTCTTAACTGCTGAGCTATCTTGTTAACCCTTCTTTTATTTGTTTTTTGAGACAGGGTCTCATTCTGTAGCCCAGGCTGCGTTTGAACTCAGCAATCCTCCTGCCTCAACCATCTAAGTGCTAGGATAACAGACAGGAGCCACTACACCTGACTCAAAAACAAAAAACAAACAAAATGTTCTTTCTAAGAAATACTACATACTGTTCACTAAATGACCACCTCCAAATGCAGATCAACCAGATCCCACAATGAACACCTGGATTAACAGGGCTGCAGCCTAGTTCAAGGCAGAATGAAATAAGAGAATGGTGTCTCTAACCACCAGAGCCAGTTGCTTTGATCAGTTTCCATGGCAAAGCTCTATAGGAGAGAATCACCTGAACCAGAGGAATCTAAAGGTCAGAAATGGTGTGCTACTCCCCGGCCCAGACAGTCCAAAGGGACAGAGCCTATGTGCTAGTCCCTTGAGTGCATGTAGTAGTACCTCCCCCCGAGACAGCTGGTGAAGATGGACCAGCAGGACTAACTTGCCCAAGGACCTGAGTCAGCAAACGCCTCATTTCTGCGGAACTCCAAGTTCTCTTTGGGAAATGCCATGCCAGTTACAGGGCCTCCTGTAGAGTGCAGCAGAACCTGACACTCACTTCTTCGCCTTAGCCACTGCTTCAATGAAAACCTGCTTGTACTTCTGCACTTGCTGCCTCAGGACTTGAAACTTGTCCTTCTTGCCCTCACAGATCAGCTTGAGATCAGCTTCCAGCTCAGCCCGGAGGTCAGGCTTGGACATCTCATAGCCCATGGAATCATAGCCTGTGGGAGAGAGCAGTGCTGAGGCTGCATGCCACCCTCAGGGGCTTTCGGTACGGGCTGCCCCTACTGCAAACTCCCTCCTGCTTTACCTTCCACAAGTCCCATGCCCAGGTGCCCAGGAAGAAAGCGCTTGTCTGAGGTGAGTCCCACGTACATCCGGGCTTTGATGGTCTCAATGTGTTCTGCGTGAGTGGCATCAGTACCTGGAAACCATTTCCCTATTATTATTCAAAAAATTTTTTTTGATTTATTTATTTTTATTTTATGTGTATGAGTGTTCCCCATGCATACAATGCCCATGAAGGTCAGAAGAGGGTGTTGGATCTCCTGGAATTTGAGTTACAGATGGTTGTAAGCTACCATGCGAGTGCTGGGAACTCTGGATGAGCAGCCAGTGCTCTTAACCGCTGACCTATCTCTCCAGCCCCTGTTCCCTAATATTATTGACAGGGCCTTGGGTAGCCCAGCTGGCTTTGACCTTGCTATATAGCCATGGCTATCCTTGAACCTCGGGTCCTTTTCTGCCTCTTGAGTTCTATAACTACAGGTGTTAGCCACCACGTCCTTCTCATTTCCCATTATTCTGAGTCGATACAGACAGCAGCATCCACACAGTTGTGGACACACCTTTTGCCTGGATAATCTATGCAGACAAGCATCTCCATTCACATCTGGTTCATGCTGGAAATCAGAGGCCACCTCAACACTCCTCCCTCCTAACACCTGACTGCTCATTAGGGGTCCATTCCAGTCTTACAAACCTCCTTCTGATTCTTGTTATTTCTGTGTCAGGCTGAGCCCATCTCATGTTACCTACATCACTTCAATGTCCTCAGTCCCTGGTCCTGCTATCTTTTCCACCTCTACCACACCTATTTTAAACTATGGCTCAATGGACCTTTTAAATGTAGCTCTGCTGCTAGGGAGATGTAAACTAAAAATCACAACAAATGCCACCTCATGCCAACTAGCTTTGGTATCACTAGAAAGGTATATAATAGTGAGTACTGGTGAAGATGGAACCTTGATTAAGTCCTGATAGGAATGTCAAACAGTGTCACCACTTTGAAGAAACAGTTTGGTGGTAGTTTCCTAAAAATTGGTTGGGTAGTGCTCCTTTGGCAGCACAAATACTAAAACTGGAACAATATAGAGATTAGCATGGTCCCTGTGCAAGATGACCCAAAAATTAGTG